ACATAGCTTGTCGAGTAGTTCTATTTGTCTGCAGTGATTATTCCTGAATTAACAGCTTTTAATCCTACACTGCCGGAAGTGAAGTCTATGTTGTTTAAATAATGCTATGTAACTCATGTCTTCACTTTATTTTGTCTTTTTTTTGTTTCACGTGCCGTGTTCTCCTTATCGGTTTTTTTCTGGATCAGTCGTTGGCGAGTTCCTTTGTATTTTCGGTTTGCTTTGAAACGGAGTGGTGATCTTGTCACGATTGACGCGCGTGAACTTGGGACGAAGTCCATGTTCATTCCGGAGGTCTTCTCGACTCTCTGGGGACTCACGTTCTCTTCATGATCCTAGACGGTCATGGATACTGGGTAACCCACGTCTGTTTTAGAACGATGGTTACTCCTCTTCTGTCTTGGAGCAGCCTGGGTAGTTCATTGGTCAAATGAATCTACGAAGTTCTTCCTTTTGGTGGAAGAGCGATAGCTGGATCGCATCTATTATCTTTTTGGTTAAGGGTTGGCTTCCTTCTCGAGAAGTCAATTGTCTAGATACTCCAGTTCTTCCTATCGAGGAGGCCTTGGTAGTGTTGATTTCTAATCCGACTTCTTGAAGTCTTTGGAAAAGGTCATCTACTATTCAACGCGATCTGCGAAATCGACGTCCGTTAGGATGATTGATCATCAATGTATGCACGGACATTTTTAAGTCATGCAGGCGTGTTTTCATCTTCCTTTGGAAGATGTCGGGACTATTACATAGGCCAATGGCAACCTCTGGTACTCGGCTTTCCCTTCGGGAGTGCAATGGTATAGTAGTTGCTTCGAGTGTTGACAGCTCGATGTGGTAGGTCCCTGTTCAGGTTAGACTAGTAGTACGCACTTGAATCCATCTAGGGTTCAGAGCATGTCCTGTATTTTTGGGATGGGATAAGGCTTCGGCTTGATCCGTTTGTTCGTTTCCCGAAATCAAGGATGAATCGTACAGATCCCTCTTTCTTGGAATGATAACATTGGTCGCCCACTGGGAACGATTAATTTCTTGAGTCTCCTGTTGCAGAGACGTTCAACCTCTTTTTAAGAGTGTTGGTATGGACCGTGGAGTAGGGTGAGCCCTAGTAATAGGATTTAGCGTCGGGACGAAGTTTTACCTCGTAGTCGTCCATACGCAACTCTCCCAAGTATCCTCGACTGGGTCGAAGCACTCGGTTGAAAAGGCATGAGGCAGTTCTTGCTCTTCCCTTATTTAACGGTTTTCGATCTGGCACATCTGCCTTAAGTCATATTTGTTCGTATGTTGTATACAGAATCTTCTTGAGACTTCGCATGTCGTTGACAGCTCAGGATCGGGAATGGAGAATTCTCCTTTTTATTGTTTTGCATCTTTCAGGGAAAAATGCGCGGTTCCACCCAATGACATGGTAGTGAACAAACTTGATTCTTAGTTCGCAAGAGGGTGTCTATGACCTTATGATCACGTCTTGCGCCCCAAGTCTTGGTGACGGTAAACCATTCGATAATTCTATAATGTGGAACTCAGGAATCAGAGTGTGCCTTACACTTCGCGGGGTTTCAATTCCTTCATAGAGCAGTCCGTATGTTTGTGACGCCCCCATATCTTATGAGTAAACTCTTGCATAGTTTGAGTAATTAAGTTCCGGATGCTCCTGTTACCAGTAAGCAACAGAGTGTAACGGGTTTTCGTTTCCTTTCTCTCGTCTGTTAAATCTAACATAGACGTTAGTTTCAAGGTCTCTTGTCTTGCGACGTTGATGAGTTGATTGGCCATGGACGAAGCTAACGATGCTGAACAGATCGTCAGCGTCTAGTTGAGAGTTCTAGGCAATTTTCTAATTTGCCGTAGATTTCGTTAGTTGCAAACAAATCTTGTTTACTATTTAGTGAGATATTTCATCACTTAGGTATGAGAATCGGAACATGTTCCGTTGAATCATCATCCTGGCCTAATCTTAGACGGAGATCTCTCCGTCAATGATTGAAGTCGAATTCGGCAAGCGCCTTGTCAAAGCAGCCATCTTCTTGTCATCATGTTGATGGATCCAACAGAGGAGTCGTCCTCGTTGTCGAGTTGTCAGCTTGCGTTTGGCAACATGGTTGCATTCGCTTTTCTTCTTGCGATCAGCTTTGACCGCAGCGTTGGAAACCTCTTCATGAGGACAGAGAGTTCCTTCTTGGTTTAGGTCTTGGCGTCGTCGGACTTGCGTTTCCAAGTCTTGTTCTTGTTGTACGCTGGCTGTTTATCGTTGTCAGACGAGGACTGAGACTTGGCCTTGAGCTTTTTCAAGTCATGCAGTCAGAGTGTTGTGAGTGCTGGACTCGTGGTAGTCGCACCATTTTCTTCGTCTTGGAAGAGTGGTCGTTGTTGCATGACTTGTACTTCTTGCTGTTGTTCTTCTTCGTAGGACCTTGCTTGGCATCCCGCCCTTGTCAAAGTCTTCGGAGGATCCATCGTTCACAGAATCCAATGTTTTCTCCGATAGGAGCTGAGAAAGATCGAAGTCGTGTTCGTCATCTTCTTCATCCACGACGTGAATTCCATGACAAGAATGTCAATAACTTCGTCTGGTTCAACTTGTTGGTTGGTCCAAAAGGTGGTAGACGAGGAGTTCATCGGTGTTCATCCGGATGAGGTTGTTGACATGCGCCGAGTGCATTTCCAGGCTTACGCATCTTTGCGCGCATGAAGCGTTTCTTCTTTCAAGAGCCTTGTAGGGACAGACGCTTCGATACAGGCATTTATGCCAAACGTAATGTCAGCGTCGTCCAAAGCAGGCTGGGCTCTCCGTTCCAGGCAGCCTGGAACGTGCTTGGAAGTGGCTTCGTCTTACCCCACGTATGTGCGTGGAGGAATGCGCGTTGACTGCAATCTGGCGACAGGCATTCCAACGTACTTCACGGTGGCCTGCACAGCTAGATTCGTACTGCTCTTTGCAGAGCTAAAAGTCATCTCCTTGAGGAGGTTAGTTTGTCGGTAGCGTAGCAATGGCGAGCCCAACGAAGACCTTCTCCATGCGTCCAGCCACTTGATGGTTTGACGTTGAGTCTCAGATCCATTGATGATTTGACCTTGAAGTTGTACTTGGCGCTGTTAGCATCTGCTGGAACAGTGCGAAGTTTGTAGGTGGTAGAGCGAGAATCGTCGATTTCGCAGTCATCATCGGGTCGATGAGAGGAAGATTGGTTTGTCGCGCAGCTTAGACTCGAAGCTGGTGTATGCGTCTTTGGCATCTTCATGGTGGGAATAGGTTGAGGTAGTGAAAGCTATTGTGTTTGTTAACAAAATGCACTACGCTAAAAGCTAGTGTAAGATCTTTCGATGTTTTGAGTTTGAGAGATGAAAGTTATGAGAGAGATTAGAAAGCTATGAAAACTAATCAACGAGAGAGATCCAACACCAAAGGATCGTAGATCTGAACTCCCGCGGGAGACTGTAGTGTGATAGAGTAGGTTGCGGTAGCAATCCTACTCACTCCACGATCCAAAACGGAACGCGTGGAAGATTCGTTAGCATTATCTAGTAGCGTGGAAGTACTCACGCTGGCTATATCTAGAGCGATGTTTCATCATCAACCTAGTTGACTAGAGCGGTCATTGAGAACCCTGTCTCAATGACTATTCACGAGAGACTCAGTCATGAGTCGAACTCAAACCCTATCTAGGATCGAGTCGCGAATAAGGCTAAGAGCCGTGTATTGCACTGACGTTGAGGTTGAGGCCCACCCCGAATTGTTTGGCAATTCAAATTTAAATTTAACAGCGACAGCGCATTGTTATCTTTCAAACGACCAATGCAAGCCAGTTAAACGACCGACTGCAACAGCAAGCAGCAACCGGAGGAACGGAAATAATAGGGGGTAAAGTGCTCCGGAAGCATGACTCAATGCATGACACACAAGCCGAGTCGTCAAGAATATAGGATCCTCATCGCGATTTCGATCGACAACAGGATAAGAACAAGGGGAACAAGTGGGATTGCTTACGAGCGAATCAACAAAAAGGGGATTGCTTGCGAGCGAATCCAAGGTATCGACAAAGGGATCATATGGATCCAATCGACAGATTAAGTTGCAATAAGGGGAAGGACTACCGATGAAGATAATGAGAGGAAACTCAGGACTCTGCACCAAAGGATAGCTCATTCCATTGACAACCATAAGGGATAGACATATAAGAATAAGAATGAGTAACATCTCATAACCTCGCATGCTACCATGCGACAATACCATTGTGGATTGATTAATCTAACGATCTAAGAGATGTAAAGTTTGTATTTCCAAATAAGTGAGCAGTTATTGATTATTTTCTAGAATAGGCCCGCAATTTATAAAGCTGTAAAGCTGAATTGTAAGCTGTATCCCGTCACACGAACCGAAGAACCAGAGGTTGGTTGCTATTCTACTCTAGATAGAAGACCAACCTGGCTCCTCCAATCGTTGGGCACAAGGTTTCAAGCCAACCACTGAATCTTTGGCTTGCAGAGAACACACTAGCTAGTTCAATTTCGAAAACACCTCGAGCTTGGTCTGGTGGTTTGTTTAGCTTGACCTGTATCTGCCTGGACTTGACTCGCACACCAGGTACCACCTGTGGCTGCACGATCCGAACTGCTTCGATAGGCTTCGACCCAAGCTCACTAGCTTGCTAGCACGTGGCCAGCTGCATGCTACATGTAGGTCCCAGCACACCCAATGAACGGTATTGCTTCCTACCGTACACATATAGCTGGTGACAACAAAGCACCATTTCGATAAACCTGAACCATTCGGCAATGCAAAGCGTAATACAATTGTATTTTTAAATTATCCATATGAAGGCTAGTGGGAAGCTACTCGAAATGATGCTGTAGGTTAGCTTCTTCCCATAGGTCGTTAGATAGGAATGCACCATAAATGTACATGTACATGCAAAGGTATCGCCGAGGTTGCAAGCAAGTTGCAACCGTGGAAAGCTCGTATGCAAAAAGGAATGATGAATCAAATCAAGATAGATGAAGGCCGTCAACCGCGTAGCTAGCTCATCTAGATAACAGAGTGCCTTTGCAATGGTCGAAGGGCAAGTCGCGGAGCGCGGCTGGAAACCCTGGTAGTCAAGGCAGCAACTTCGACATCATTCTCAGTGTCATCGCCTTCGACAGTGTGAGGAGACTGGAGGAAGCGGGAAAAGGCAGAAGGCTCACGACGCTCGGTTTGGAGTAAGAAAGGGTTGTGCCCATTCTCATCATCTTCCAGGTCTTCGAGGGATGGCATCAACAGATGCTCGGGCACACATTCCGTCCCGCCACTGGTTGTGGTCAAAGATACAAGGATGGGTCGGGAGACAATCACTGGAGGGGGAGAAAAGTGAGGCCATCCTACTCCTCGAGTGGTGCCATCATCGGGTCTCATTGTGCGGGCTCTCTTGGCGGGCGATTGGGGCGGGGTGACCAAAGCTGAAGTACTTGCCATGGTTGCTGGGGCTGTGAGGGGAACAAGTAAGGGAAACGACGGATCAAACGAGAGGATGGATTGACTTTTGGATCTTTTGTGGCCACTTTTGATACAACCAGTGGCCTCCTCAGAGACGTCCAGCAAACTCATATCGCAGAGCATACTCTTAGCTCGCTTGTGTGAACGCATCCTTGCAGCACCCAAAGTGATGTTGTCCTTGAGCATGGTATGTGTATCTAGAGCACCAACGGGAAAGAAACGAGGAAGAAACAGTCAAGATACTAGTAGCTGGATAGCAGTAACGGGAAGATTTGGGTGCGAGTTGGTTGCTAGCTATAGTAGTGGCAGCTTGCTTGTAGATCTTCTTTTGCCTCACTTGCTTGTTCAAATTATGATCCAGAAGAACAAGGATGTCCTTTTTGAGGACAAACCAGTGAGCCCTCCATTCTTGCATAGTGCCTTGATCATTCGCTCGCTCTTCTAAATCTCCACTCCGTCCGTACGATATCCGATAAAATCCTCAGCTCTTAGGCGATGGTGTAAGTATTGTGACTGTCCGAAGCCAAAGACTGACTCACGGCAACCCAGGAGGTGTTCCAGTGGCCCCGGAGAATGGTTCATGGTGTGGCGTGGATGGCTTCGTGGATGATCCAGGCAGCCCCAAAATTGTGAATGGTTGTCATTGGGGCCTATTTTTCCAACGTTCCCAAACGTCGCGTGATGCGACCTTGAGGGAGTTCAGAGACATGGTACCTGTACCAACGGTAACGGGCACCGGTACGTACATCCAAAAGGACCGACAAGCAAAGAAGAAGGAGAGAAGGTTCTGGCAGGTTCTATCCTCGCTCGGTTGAGCTCTCGGTTGTCACCAGTTCATTGTTTAGTGTCTGATACGACTGTACACGACTTGCATCCCGACGATTATTGCCTCGTCTTCCACAAGCGCAAGTGGTACTAGTACTCCAATCCACTACCGGTAGCTAGCTACTAGTAGCTACATGTACCGGTAGACGGAAGAAGCGTGCAACACACGCGTATTCAATCCAATCGAGCATCGATCGAACATTTTTTAACGAATTCAATCGAAATCGAATCGAATCTCAATCAAAAAAGTGAGACCAAAGTTATTAGGCTAGCAGAGCTGTAATCTGTGGAAGCTAATCTCTCATGCCACACAAAGATCTTCTTTTGTCGGTCATCACCAATTTTGGTTTGGGATCGACAACAATACGGAACTCGGAAGTTGCAAGGAGGGACAAAAGCTTTCATTGTAACCTCATGCAATGCCATTCAATGCATGCCCAGATTGATCCCTTGGTTCCCCGTTAGTTAAAGCCACGAGTTGACAGATAGAGAGCCATATACAATGGAACAACAACTTTTGCTCAAGCTTCTGTGGATCAACAATGAGCCCACGCGTATGAACATGCTCCGGATGTTTCTACAAGGTCCCGGTGCCGATCCTTCGGTGAACAAAATGTCTCCAGAACTGTTTCTCCAAGCGATTGCGTATCACGGCAAGTTGGTCAAGATCATAATGGAGACCATTCCCGGCAAGGAAGAGCTATGTCAGCAGGAAATGGGTATTCTGTTGCAGATTGCCATGAATACACGTGTAGCTCTGGTGGAAATGCACGGAGAAGATTCGCCCATTGTGTTGCGATTCCAAGATGGATTGTCTCCTGTTTTCACTTAGCTGAAGCTAGCGGATCTTCTCACCAGGATGAATGAAATGAATGAATCGAATATACCCAATCCGCCCCGCAAACCCAGGCGGTACTATCACATGACAGGAAAAGGACGACACCAGATAGATGATGGAATGTAATTTTAGTCAATATTTTTGCATCACACAAACTACAAGTAGTTAGCTAGCTGTTTTTTGGATCATGATAACAGAACGAAGTAGAAGATGAATGTACATGGAGGAAATCTCTTGACCACAACCTCGCGACTTCCATGTTTGTCCGTCCGTTTCTTCGCCAACAGGTATTCCGTAGCCAGCACTTCTCTCCTGACTCTATTTGGGTTGCAATCTCCCATGCGATTGCTTCGCATTTAGACAAGATTGCCGAAGCACTATCGTGTATACAAGAACTTGGTGCTACACGGCGGAAAGCAGCGCCTTTGGGTGGAAACCCATCCCGAGCATACAAGGTGAGTAAACTCATTTAGTTCAGTCAGTTTTTGCTAAAATCGTATGAGCTTGCATTGTACACTCGTGTGGACCAATAATGTAAGGAATTATTCAAGATGGCTACGGAGGCAATCATTCTTTATGCAGCAGTCAGAGAGTGAGGGAGGATTGTGGATTATTACTTGGTAGTACAGCACAGATTCCAGTTTATCTGCAATCGTTCTTTTTATACAGCATCAAAGGGTCCCACGGAGGTTGTTCGAGTAGATGATGGAGCTAGTTGTTGCTTTGACTGTCGTAGACTCGTGGTCGAAAAGTGTGTGGAAGGTGCCAATTTTTCCACCACGTATTGTTCATCTGTCTTGCAGACGGGGCATTTTCCATCGTGGGCCTTGACCTTTTTCCAATGTTTGTAGAGGCAATTTTCGTGATATTCGTGATGACAATTGGGATTGTTGGAATGTGTGACATTTTCTCCTTCTTCGTAGTCTTTGCTGCACAGGACGCAGCGAGGAATGTAAATCTTGTTGGTAATCCGCTGTTCGACAGATGTCATGCTTTCCGTAATCAAGTTATGTTTGTTGTTGGCTCCTCCCATTTGTTCACTATCCATCATTAATTGAATATCCGATTCCTCTTCGCCGTCGCCTTCTTCCATAGTGGCCATGGGTTCTTTGGTAGCATCCGATTTTAGGAACACTTTGGTGGGGACCTTGGTCTTGGAGTCTTTGGTATAATCTAATCATGAAACAGTTATCAGTGATGGAAGAGGATAAGAGTGAGATAACTGCATGACACACGGTAGCTAGACGTAGAATCTCTTGCGTTCCTTACCATCATCGTCATCCCCTTTTCTGTGAAGTACATCCCGTTTTTTGAAAACTCCACAGCACCATTCTTGCTGGCATGAGAGGAAAAAGACGATTATCACAAATCCCATACACGCGCCGATCATTCCTATGATCAATTTGTGTTTTTCGCTGAGAGCCATGGTAGATGGGTAGGTTTCTAGTTTGGTTTGGCTTTGGCTATGGATCCTTTGATTGGTCTATCTTTCTTTCGCTTGTGGTTTTGCTGAGAGGAATAATGAGAAACTGAAGCCTGAACAAAAGGCATACTACTACTCCATGTACTATAATATAGAGTATAGAGCAAAGGTGCACAGCTGGCTTGCCAATTAAAATTGCCATCCAACCAAAATGAGACAAACAACGGAAAAAGGGAACTTTCTAAAGTACATTTTTGCATAGTACATAAGTGGCAGTCTTACTTCTCCTCAACGAGCAATCAAGGCATTAATGCTTCTTGGGGTTGCTGGACTGGATCATTTGAAAGATTTATCAGAAACCAACTGCCCAATGTCACACTTTTGCCTCGCGCTGTGTATGCATGCATCTTGTTTGCATGCAAAATACGAGGACGCAGAGCTCACTGGAGCTTGTCCACCGCCGAGAGGGAAGTACCCAGCTCTCGGTTATTCACACTTCAACACGTTCTTCGTTCTTTCTTCAAGAAGCCAATTGCTGGAACTTGTCGTCCTTTTTGCTGGATCTTCTCATCATCGGCGTCCTGCTGGGTAGACTCAGTGTTGTCCTCTGGCTCTAAAGGAGACACAAAACAAAGCTCACAAAACAACAAAACAACAACAAACAACACAACAATTACTACACTCCAGTAATACAATCTTCTCTACACATACATACCCACAATCATGACATACATCTACCCCCTAGCAGCCAAGGTTCTATCCGAATTTGTTGGAACTACCCTCACCATACTCTTTGGAGAGTCCATCATTGCCAATGAACTCCTCGCTAGCACCAAGGGCCATGGCATGGGATTTCTCGCCGTTGCCCTTGGATTTGGCTTGGCCTTTGGGGTCAACATAGCTTGGTTTGCTACCATTAGTGCCCATCTCAACCCTGCCATGTTCTTCTTTTTGGCTCTCATTGGGAAAGTGGAATGGAAAGAATTTTTGGCCTGCTCCTGTGCCAATTTTGCAGGAGCCTTTGTGGGAGCGGTCCTGGTAGCCATCTTTTTCATGCCACATTTTGGATTCTCTATTCCACTTCCTTCCAATACCAGTGATGCAGCCACCTATATTGAAGGACCCGTCAGTATGGAAACCAATGCTGGAAGACTTGCCTCTGCATTTGGACCAGCATCAAGAAAGAGGGAGAGTGTAACTATTGGTACAGAAATAAGATCCTTCTTCCATTTGCCCAATGATGAACGATTCCTGGAAGGCCACAACACAAACACACAAGTTGCTGCTGACGATGTCAGCCGCTTGGAGAAGATGAAAATGAGACAATCAAGGCGCCAGTCGGTCACACTACAAACAGCACCTCCCACTCATTTGGAATTCTTCAACCACCACTCTGTCAACTTGGCCGAGCTAGCGCGTGCAAGGGAGACTACAGAAGATTGTACCATTGAACCCCTGCGTCATTCGGTGCAAGTGGCTGGGCTCTTGCGTGCTCGTGATGCCAATATTGATACTATGCAGCCAAAAGAGCAGGACATTGAGGCTGGCTCCACTCATACCGCCCAAACTGATGAATCATTTCAAGGAGGAGTGCCAGCTCAGACCAAAGTCAGGTTCAATGTAGAAATTGATGATATGATTGATGTGGAAAACCTGTCCATTACGGAGGATCCCAGCAACAACAACATGGCTGCTGCAGAAGAGCAAGACACTGCCACAATGGCCTACAAGGCTGCCTTGCAGGCTGATGCCAGTGCCAAACTCTCCATTTTTGCAACCAGACCAGCCATCTACAACCGCCCTTGGAACTTTCTGCAGGAAGCAATTGCCACCGCTGTCTTGGTGCTGGGTGCAGAAATGTTCAATTTGCGCAAGGAGTTTCAAACCGAACTCACGGGGGCAACATGGCAAGATGGCTCCTTTTTCCAATCCTTGTATATTGCTCTGTACATCACTTTGTTGGTTCTTGGCTTGGGAGGCACCACTGGATTGGCCGCCAATCCAGCACGTGATCTTGGACCACGCCTGGCACACTATCTGCTGCCACTTCCCGGCAAAGGATCCAGTGAATGGCACTATGGATTGGTGGTTCCCCTCTGGGGGCCCATGTTTGGTGCGGCCATGGGTGCTGGTATCTTCAAGTTGATGGAAGCCATGTATGAGATGGTGGAAATTGTTGGTGAAGAGGCCAACGAACTTTAATGAATTGGGGACATGATGCTGCCATAGATTAGAGGCACAATAAACATAGAAGAGAATTTTGATATAATTTGCCAAGGAACAGTAGTCTAGAAGCGTGTATTTCTGTTAGCTGGCCGGGTTGTTTTGCAAAATAGATAGCTAGGACTCAAGCAACCACTTTAGATAACGGCGGTGTCAAGAATTACTTGAGAAACGGTCCTGTACGGGTACTTGAGATGTACGGTACCGGTACGGTACGACTGTACACTATCGCAGTTCTGAATTCTGAACCTGCTCTGGAGAGCTTCTGCAGCTCTGAAGGGTTATAATTAGCTCAACCCACACGCACGCCAAACCCATACCGGTACCATCCGGTACCGGTACGGTACTGTAGCCTACTAATAGCTACTAGTTCTACTTAAGGAGGTATACCTACCTTCCGATAGACGGACAAACGTTGGGTGGTCTCGAGGTACCTCTGCCGGTACTTTCCAGAGCTCGGACCTCGAAGGCACATTATGTGGAACACGGAATCTATCAGTCAAAACACACGAGATTGTTGTATCTGTGGGTTGCCTGACGAACCCCCCAACGGCCCTTCTAAGCCAATCAAATAATAGGAGACGGCCGACCTTGATTTGGTCAGTAACGTGGTAAAGTCCAGACCAATCAGTAGAGGATGCAAGTTTCGTAAGCAGTCAGTCGATAGCAGCAAGTGTCAACTATAGTTGTTCCTGGTAGCAAGAAGGAAGATGCTATCATGTCTACTCTACTAGTATTTGATCAGGGAATCCATTGTGAGGATGACATCGCAGGAGGAGGCAAATGATGGGGGGAATGATGGTCCTCCACTTGTCACGCCGGTTCCTGCATCCAGGAGTACACGTAGCAAGGGCTCACCACAGACGCTAGATCAACTCTTGGGGTGCCTTACAGCGAATCAGAAAGAAAAAGCAAGACGTGAGCATTCGAGGATTGAACAAGGTTTGAACCGGTATGACCGCAAGCTGCCGGATGAAGTACAAGCAAAGATATCTTGGGAAGTTAAGAAATGCCTCAATCGTGGCGCACCTGCCCAGAAACCAGCGCTGGAGATCACCAGAACAGTCCACGTACAAGAAACTTCATCTGCAAAAACGGACACTGACGAAGATCCTGCTGCCACTGTTGACAAGAAGCCAACTCGCATTATTGTCGAAAGAGAAAGTCTTTGCCAGTTCATTGAGGACAATCTTGCATGTTCCATTTGCGGCAAGTCTGGTTTTCTTGAATTCTCCTTCAGAACCAAATGCCTTGCTGCTAAGCCTCGACTTGTCTGTAATAGTCCCAAGTGCAACGGAAGGACTGTTGAGGGGGAGTGCAGCCGGACCAACATAGCAGTGAAGCGTGGGCAATCCTTCGAATATTTCATACCAGACAAACTTCGATTTGTTTTGGCGCATCTAGCTGGTGGAGATGGGAGTACAGAAGCAGGACGTCTTCTGGGTATCATGAGCCTTCCATGTTCGACTTCAATGACAACCCACACATTCAAGGAAATAGTTGATGGACTTTACCCAATCATCAGAGCGGTTACAGAGGAAGCAATTCAGAACAATCTATTCGACGAAGTAAAGATACTCATGACAGATGAGATAGACAACGGCAGCTTTGATTTGGAGAAATGGAAGACTGATATAATGGAAGGAAAGACAAGCAATGATCCGTCCGCATTGTCCTCTATTGATTTGGTCGTTTCCATGGATATGGGATGGCAGAAAAGAGGAAGTGGTAGGAGACATGATTCCTCCAGCGGGCATGCATGTCTTATAGCACAGAAAACTCGAAAGCACATTGCTTGGTGCCTGAAGAGTAATTTCTGTTCTACATGTAAGAGACATGAAGCAAAGGGAACTGTTCCACCCGGTGACCACCAATGTCAAGTCAACCATGAAGGGTCGGCTGGATCTATGGAAGCATCGGCTCTCTTGTACATGCTTGAGTTCTTACACGACAAGTACCAGTTACATGTTACCAGAATCATTACGGATGATGATTCCAGCATGCGTGCTAATGCGAAGTGGTCTAACGAAGACTTCCTTCGAATGAACGGCATTTCAGAGATACCTATTGCTGGTCTTGTTCTACAATTCAAGAAGAAACCACAGCAACACATCGAAAAGCCTTGTAAGGTGTGCACACCTTTCGAGTTGCAGAACAAGACTCCTCCAAAGCACAAATGCCCAACATGGAAAGAAGTTCGCCGTACTGGTGGACTCCTACCTTCCACCATTCCCGAGCCCGAGTTCATTGCTGATCCTGCACACCGAAAGAAAGGCCTTAGGAATGACTTGTATGCTCTTTATGGCAAGAAAAAGAAGTACAACCATGGTCTCTGTGAGGGTGACATCTTACGACTCTGCGTCAACTTTGTTTCATTGATATGGGACCTAAAAGATGTTCCAGAGTCTGAATGGAAGAATAGGAGTCAAGCCCCGTTGCTACATCACTTCGATGACCACAGGTATTGTTGCGATTCTTTCTGCACTAGGAAGAATGCGACGGAAGAAGAAAAAGAACAGTCAGACAAGCAGTATCGTTCAAAAGAAAAGGAACCTGAGCTCTTCGAAGCTATTCGAACGATAATGAAGAAGTACACTCGAATGAAGCGGTTACAGGAAGTAGTGCACGGAGGTGATACTCAAGTGAATGAGTCGCTGAATTGCACGATATCTTGGCTCGCTCCCAAGAACAAGCACTACAGCGGCACGTTGTCCCTCCGCGTCAGAGTTCTCATGGCTATTGGCATTAACATCCTTGGCCCAAAGGCATTCTACACAAAGGTATTTTCCCTTCTTGGTATTGAAATGGACGCTGCCACGGACCGGTATCTCACTATTGTTGATGCTGCGAGATGCAAGCGACTCGCGATGAGGAAGACTCCTGCTTATCGACGCAGGAGAAACAAACGAGTATACCAAAAGATATTAGCCTACCACGCTAAGCTGAAAGAAGATAGACAAAAAAACATGTTCTATGAAACTTGCAGTGCGTTAGATGAGGGAACTGAACCCAAGAGAAAGAAACAGAAGACGAAAAGCAACAATACACAAATGCATCTGCAGGGTCCCAAGCCAGCTGGTTGTTCTGATGACAACTACTGTAAGGCCTGTGGCAATTGGGGGCACAAGAGAAGGACAAGTCGTCTTTGTCCTAAGAACCGTAAGCTATGTGATAGCCATCCATCCGTCAGTGCGTTAGAAGGAATGACCGACGACCAAGTGAAAGAAACACAACAGAGTCTTCTTGACAGCATTCCTCTTGAAATGGAAGAAACAGAAGCCCACAATCGAACTCTCATAGTGGAGAACATCCTGGAAGACAACGACAATGATGAAGACGACATAATGAACTAATAAGATAGTAGACAGTGACAAATAATTTCTTTCTTAACACTTAGAAGCAAACAGCTGCGATATCGCGGCACTTCTTTACAGTAGAACCGAATCGTCAGTTCTTAGGTTCTTCCTTCGACTCATTGCCAGAAGCATTCTCCGACTGCAAGATGTTCTTAGCAGCTTGCATCGTACTCTTGTCATAGGTGGAAGCAAAGTCCAAGGCTATGCCCCAGTATTCACGTTCGGTCTTCGAAGCATTCTTTTCCATCTCTTCGACGTAGGCTTCGAAGTCTGCAGCAGTGGGTTCACCATAGTCGGTGTCTTCCTTGGCCGTGTCTTGTTCCTTTGCCGTATCTTGTTCCTCTACCTCTTCCTTGACCGTGCCTTGTTCCTCTACCTCTTCGTTGTGGATCTCCGTATCAGCTTTCATGGGAGACATAATAGACTGGTGAGTGTAAAAACGAGGAACATACCCTGTAAAGGCCTGCTGTTCGTTGTCATTGGGGATCTTCTCACGGACATACTGGACCATGCAGGAAGGCAACTCCTTCCTCTCAGTAAGATTGTACATGTTCGATGCCATCCAGTGATAAAAACACCACCTCTGCTTAGGAGCTTCGAGGTCATCCCAACACTTCGCAAGCCTCTTGTCTTCGGGAACTTTGGCAATCATCTGGTCAAAGAGTAGATCCTTGTCCATCATTGTGATGGAAAAGGTGAACCTTCCACAGCAAACGTACTGGAATCTAGACATGCACTCGCAGTACATGACAGTAGAATCATCATCACTGCTGTCTGCCAATCCAACTGTGAACAATCTCTTGAAGTCGGGCTTGAGGAACCTAGTGGCAACTGGTGCACCAGAAGCCAACTGCCACCTTTTCGCAGGACCACAGTAGACAAATCCAGCATTGGTCTTTGGGTCGTAGAGACACTCCGCACAAGTAAAGACAATCTCTCCGGTACCATGACACTTCTTCACAATGTCAGGATGGAAGGAGGTAGTGTTGGCCTTCAATTGATCTGGTGACATACCAAAAAGGTTGTCATCAGGATCTTCCATGATCAAGATTTCCTTTCCCTCACACGAAGGAGGATCAGATGTCTCCAATTCAGTAATCAACATGATGCGAATATGCTTGAAGCTGGAATTGGAACTCAACTTGATCCAACTGTACTCAGAGATAGAGAGTCTGCTTCCCCTTTTCACATCAGGCAAAGTTTCAGAAAGAAGAGTGTCAGTAACAGCTTTGAAACAATTGTTGCTGCCATCGAAGAGCACCATCTTCAAGATTGTTTTGTCCCCAAAGCATTGCTTCGTCTCTCTACGGATAGAAAGAACAATTGCCTGCAACGAAGCCCCAACTGTGGGAGCTGGGTATTTGCTGCCAGGATGAATCACGCGAATGGATGGATAGTCGATTTTGTTGACCAGCATATCAGCCAGGAAATCAATGGAAGCACCACCGAAATGAGTAACCGTGATGCATCTGCGGCAGAACGCAACTTCATGGTGCAGCTCGATAGTCTGGTCCTGGTTGCCGATTGGGTAAAACCAAGATAATAAGAATAATGGCACGCGCACTGGCATTGCCTATCTCCCGCCACAGAAATGAAGGGGCGCCATTTCAGTGAGATTCCGTCGGACCGAAACTTCCGAAGGCATGACTGCTCGTTTGACAGCCGATAAATTCGTTTCACCATGCAAATTGTTGCTGTTACTCCGGCAATGAACCTGCCCTTCTTGACCCTCTAGAATGTTATCCCAATGACGTCCAATGACAATGCCGATATGCTGGTAGGGAAATTCGAGTACGCTCTACACACCGGTGGTAATGGTATCAAGGGAGGGTTCTTCTTTGATATAATAGACTGTATCATCATGGTGACATGAAAATTCGGGATACTCCAGCCTCCACCCAATCGATATCCGCCATTTTGACACCTCCCTTGATACCACCGCCACAGATAGCTAGCCAAATGGCTTGTTACGTCGAGGGCCCAATGGCAGCCCATCTTTACTTGACTATGGCCCATCATTGGTCAGTCCAGTTACGCTTGTTCATCATCGTGAGATAATGATTGCTTCGCTGGATACCACCGTGTTAAAATGGGTTATTAGCCATCGTTAGTCTTACTCGTGATTGAAAGGTAGGTATACCTCCTTAATTAACAAGTAATTCAATGGCCTGACCAGACTACAAGCAATAGCTAGCTAGTGATTGAGAGTACCGTATTCTGCCGATTACGATGCTATGGCGCAAGGCAGGACTAAGGACTAAGGACTGTGCATTCATGTCAGGACCAAATCATGCGTTGGCGGTCAAGTATTGGAAGCCGCCGTGCAGGTCGCAGACGATAAGTTGGAAGGCCGACGATAGCCCACTTCATGTCCAGGAAGGATGCCGTAGACGTTTGCTCCTGAGCTGGTGACAAGGAAGGGCGACAGGTCTACGATGTCATGGCTTTCGACGACTGCTAGAGTGCTGTGGCTACACAGTAACTAATAAGCTTTTATCGTTGTGGAGACTTCTCTCTACATGAACTATCAGCTAGACAAGCAATCTTCCCGGAATGCTAGTCGAGCTTGAGACTTCTTTGTGACTATGATACAGACCCAATGTGGTGGCACATCCTCGATGACTCAAGCGGTATCCTCGGCCTCGTCGTTTAGAGAGGTGTGGAGGCAGAATGAGGATGCGTGTTTGGGAGGAGACAGGTTTTCCATGACATAAACCTCCCTGCATACAGGACAATTGTTTCGGTTTTCTGTGGAGGTCGACCAGTACTTTTGAAGGCAATCTTTGTGGTACTCGTGGTGGCAAGCAGAGTTATTGGAATGGGTGACAGGCTCCCCAATTTGGAAGATTTTGCTGCACAGCACACACCGTGGCATACTCAAGGATTGGCGAAAGCTAGAAGTGACTGCAGAGCATCGCTTGGACTTTCTCCCCGAGGGAATGGTGAGAGTAGATTGGACGACGTCTGTTTCGTCTTCGCTAGTCTCCGTAGAACTGCCCATCCCGGAGGTGTCGTCCTCATCAATGGTTACACTGGAGCTCAAACGTTCGAATTGAGTTGAGTCATTAAAGGTTTGAAACTTGCACAGGCAGGACAGGCATATTATATTGAGTAGCTGGGGTAAATACCTACTGAGACATCTTGTAAAATGCCAAGTGTACCTATTTCATGTTCCGAACCCGTGGCTTGCGGTTGTCAACCAGCGTGTCCCGAAGTTGGGAGAGAAGGATTCATAGCCCCGTCGTCACGTCGCTGTCTGGTCTGCAATAGTTTGGGCTGCGACTGGCCTACTAGCTTCCTACAGTTCCATCCCTCTTCGAAGCTGCGGCTTCCACGGATTGCCTCGCCAATGACAGTGGCTGCATCGCCACATTCCTCTTTCTGCTTGATTCAATGCTGTCGCTTCCTGGACAGGGCGATGCCAGCCAGATCGTACATGTAGCATCTACGAATGCGTTCCGGGCGAGGGAAATACGGACAGATTCAATCTTTGCCGACCTCGAAAGCAACTAGGCCACCTCGCTGCAATGTCACAAGCCGCAACAACTGCACGGTGCTAACCTAGCTAGTAGTAACACGCACATTGAACAATGCCATGCAATTATATATCTTGTATGTAAAATTGTTGTCCCTATCCAATCCGTCTACCCAGGGTCATCTGACAACAGAAACTAAATCATAAAGGATGTAGTACAATGTGCCCATTTGGTACCGCAGGCTCGGTAGTCCCCGCAACTCAGACAGAAACTTCATCCTGATATACCTCCTCGCCTAGGCGAAACAATCGCGAGCTCTTCTCAATGAAGCCAGCAAGGCCTCCCTCTGGCTTTTGCGGTTGTGGCTGTTCCTGTGGAGAGAAAGGAGGCGCTTCAATATCGACCTGGGCTCTCTCTGGAGGTGCCGCGCTGCCATCGTCAGAATCCGGTTCATCCATGAAGGCTTCCGAAAGAAAAGCTGCTGAAAGATTATCTTCCGTCACCTCTGATACGCGGTGCAGTGCTTTGGGCAGTGTGTTGGGTCCTTCAGTATGCCTTCGCTGACTACGCCTTTTTTCTCCCGATTCGGGTCCAGCCGTGTGGATCCAATAGGTCTTCATCTTTCCCTTTCCTTTCACTTCCGTCATTCCTCGAAGATATGTTTTGATGGTGTCATCCTGCTTCTTCAAGTTCTTGTACGCTATTTCGGAGCAATGGATGCAATTCTCCTTCGACGTGCTCTCCATTCTAGAAGCTGTTGGTTCAGTTGGAAAAGAACAACAGCGATAGTGAGTGCAAATTGAACAGATAAAAGAGAAGACCGTCCCGTCAATGCTTACCAGTGTTAACCGTATCTCCAAACAAACTGTTCGTTCAGTTGGAAGGCACAACAGTTGTCGTCAGTACATACAGAACAACCAAAATATCATTGCCGTCGTGCTTACCAATATCGAGGGTTCCGGGAGCCAACGACGTCAGCTACTACGGGCCCCGAGTGAAATCCAACACGGATATTGACGTATCCTTTGCTAGGATCATCGAGATCAACTCGTGTGTCGTTTGCTGCTTCGATGGCATCAATGGCAAAGTTCGCAATGCGCTTTGTGTGATCATCGGGTTGATCCTTCACTAGATTTGTCACAGCCACTGCGAATAGAAGATATTGCATGTAGTCATGAGCACATAAGATAAGCAAGAAAAACCTAGCAGTATCGGGGTTGGCGAACTGAGCCATGCAGAATGATAACTTACTGTATGCATCACCAATGGTCTCCACCTGGAAGGCCAAACAGTTAGAGAGAGGACAGGTCAGTCAGATAGCCATCAAGGTGTTAACAAAGGAATCAAGGCAGTACAACGCACCTTAAAGATATCGTGCTCATGTGACAACTGGTCAAACTTTGTGTATAGACGATCCAACATATGTGCGACCTTCTTCGGCTCCAGAGTAGACGAAATGGTCGTAAAGCCCACAATATCGCAGAAGAAGATTGTCACCATTTCTTTGTGCTCTGAAGCAACCTCGCGTCCATCCTGAAAGCAAAGGAGAGAGAGAGAGAGTTTTGTTAAGGAACAGATCGGCACCACGCATCAAACCACAGACAGCGACAACTAACCCGGAGTGCCTCGGCGATATGCCTTGGAGGTGCAAGAAACGACTGGGAGGTGAGAGCGCCATTACGTCTTGATGAGCATGGCACTTTTGCCGGAACTTACCTCGGGAAGATGTCAAAGAGCGAAATTGTAGCTCTGTCTTTGCTTGCTCCATTATCGACCTTGCTACAATCCATTCTCTTGACACGCATGTTCACTTCTTCAAAGGTTGGGCGTTCCTGGGGATCCTGTACCAAGCAGTCACTCATGAGGCCTTCAATCAGTGGCGGACAATCTTTGGGGACGGGAGGTCGTTTGTGGATGTTGGGGTCCGCAACTAGCTTCAAGACTTCCTTAGGATCTTCCCCTTCGTAGGGGTCTTTCCTGGAGAAGACTTCGTAAAGGATAATCCCATACGCGTACATATCCGTCGCTGCCGTGTTAACGCTGGTGCCTCGGAGGAGTTCGGGGGCCATCCTAGTGGGCAACAACGCAGGAACAAGTTATGTGAGCGGCATGATTCACCCATGCTGTCGTCACGATGCAATTTCCAACCCCTTACCAGAACGGCGTGCCTGCAGCGACGCCAAGAGAGTGTTTCTGACTAAGGCCTGTGGTAGCAGAAGAAGGAAAGTCAGCCGCCTACGTTGCCAGCAATTCAAGCCACTTTATACATAATCCAAACTGAACATACCGAAATCAGCCACCTTGGCCCGAAACTTGCTGTCGATCAAGATATTGGCAGCCTAAACAGATAGATCATGTGAGCGGCATCATCACCATGCATGCGTGGAGTCGTTCGCTCGTGACAAGCAATACAATTAATTTCCTTACCTTGAGATCTCCGTGGATGATCTGTGGGTTGCTGGCGTGCAAGAACCGGAGGCCGCTGGAGATGTCACGAATAATGGGAAGTAGAATCTCCCCCTCGAGGACCATCGTGTTGTTGTGTAGAATGTCATACAACGAGCCATGCTCCATGTATTCCATGACGAGCATTGGATCTTCGCCCTTTTTGATGACTGCCCCCATGACAGTGGTGATGCAAGGATGACGCAGCTTGGACTACGATACGAAATAAACGTGAGTTGCAGTTCCCAAGGAAACGAGTGTGCACACACAAACCAGGTGGAAGGAGTCAGTCGTTACGTACCAAATAGCGCATTTCGCTGATAAAGTCCTTTTCCAGTTTGCGCCTCTCGGCCTTGGTGGTACTGCCAAAACCGAGGGTATATTTGCTGGCACCACCTCCACCGCCCATGGATGTGGAACCCAAGTGGTTTGTGTTGCTGATGGACATGGAACCCAACAACTTTGGGTCATCGGCGCCATTACTCAACGACATGGAACCCAATTTCTGATCGTCACCGCCATTTGTCAAGGAGACGGTCCCCATTCCACTGGTTGTCAGCACGCCACTGTGTTTGCCACTGCCGCCACCTTTTTTGGGTGGAATGACTCGTTTCACAGCGACTTCGGTCCCCCGATACTCGGCCAACAAGACAACCCCAAAGGTTCCCCGTCCCACCACGACGGGCGGTTCTTCAAATTTCAATTCCTGCTTGTCGACTTTCCAAACGGCATCATTTTTGCGTTTCTTTTGTTCCATGACGGCCCATACGGTAATGGCAATCGCCACCAACCCGGCAGCGACAATGCCAATAATGGTGCCCGGGGATGACCACGCATTCGCACTAGCAGTCGCAAAGAGTGTATCGGCCGTACAGTGTGCCGTGATTCCGACTCCGGTACTCGTGTAGCCTTGTGGACAAATACACATTCCCGATTGTGTATCACACGTGTAATTGTAAATGCGTTCGCAATCCGACACATGCACGCAATCGCGTCCATCCCATGTGGGCATGGGATACACAATATGCGCCGATTGTTTTTCCGGTGGAAAGACGGTTTGGGCGACCCACGCCCGGTCATTTTGCAACAGTGTCAATGCATAATCGCCTTGGCCATTTTCATCAAATTGCAATTCACCCAACATGGTTGGAAATGTTTGGGTATTGAGATGGTTGGCGAGCACAGTGGCATTGGAAATCGTATTGGTGGCTTCCATGGTTTGCACCGCGACGGAAATAAGTGCCGATCCCAGTGTGGCGGCTTCGACGACGACGGTATCAGAGGACAATTCTTGAAAGCGACGGGAGTACTCTTGTGTGGTCCATCCCGTGAGAGCATCGGTAGCACGGACCGATTCAGCCCAAATAGCAACTCCCATGACGTGTTCGACATCCGTGCCCAAGGCTTCTCGAAAATCTTGTCCCCCGACACAAATCGTGTAGACTTGGGCTTTGGGACTCCACTGGACGTTGCGCATGGCCGTATTCCAGGGCACGCAATCGTAGACACACGTAATGACAATGTCGGGATTGATTTGAGAAAGATTGCGGGCGACGGGTTCCAAGACGGAAGCATTGGGGGTTTGGGGAACTTGGGTTTGGGAAATAATCTCAAAGTTGTATTGCGCCGCGAGATCGGGTGCGACAGCACACGCGGCCGTAGTGAATCCGACATCTTCCCAAATGGTGGCGACCGTCTTGGCGTCGGTATGTTCGGCCAGTCCAGCAAATGCCGGCACTAAAAACTTTCCCACGGGTGGCGCCGTCGTAAACACGTACGGTCGATCGGCAAAGTTGGAAGTCAGTGCGGAACCGGCGCACATGAGTAATCGTGGCTCGCTGGCGTTGGCATTGTGTTGCGTCACGACCGTCGATAAGGGTTTGGTTAGTGCCGAAGAATAGCCCGCCACCATCATATCCACATTGTCCGCCTTGACGAGTTTATGCGCAATGGCTTCCGTGAGTTCGGTCGACGATTGATCGTCAAATGTCTGCAAATCGAGTTTGTAGTGTTTCCCATTGACTTTGGCACCACAGCGATGCACATTCACATAGTCCAATACCAACTGATACCCCAATCGTTGTCGATAGCATTGAAAGTAGTACTTGTCTCCTTGTTCCAACGACGAAGGACCTGCCAGCAGAATCCTGCCGCCATCAAACACACACGTCCGGTTCGTGATGGCTGACACGACGGACGTATCCACGGATCGAAGAATCGATACCACACTGCCAGTCGGCAACACTTCGGCTATACTGTCGTCGCCTTGACAGACACGCACCAAGAGAGTCACAGTCAAGCCGAGCAAACATCGAGAGAGCAACAACATCTTCATCATCTCAAGAGAAAAAAACAAACAAATGAAGAGAAAGGAAAATTAATGTCCCTCTTTCTTCACTGAACTAACAGTGGTTCGTATAATAGAATGGAAGGACGACGAAAGCAAAATGACTAACTTTGAGACAGTACTTTCACAGCTTTTGGGCCTGTGCTGTGACTTGCTGAGTCTGTGATTCAATCCTTCTCGGACCGTGCAACCTTACGGTCCTCTTGCTCTTTAATTCTCAATAATCAATAACGTTAAATACAACATTGCACTTGCAATAAGAAACACACCACTTTCGGCCCAAGGGCAATGTAGTTTCACTGGGAAGTTGAAGTGACGTAAGAGCAGCTATCACACCCGCTTTTGGGGTACTTTTATGTGCCTCCTTCTTTTCGAATGGAATGACTCCGTTGTCGGGCAGGGCACTTTCTTACACTTTCCGTTGGATTTCTGAGAAGGGGCAAGCACTTTTAGGTCTTTGCTCCTGGAATCAAATGTAGTGGAGTACTAGAGAACGGTAGGATCTACGAGGACTTGAGTACTGGTGTGGCTGGCTACTGGCTACAGTTAATTAAGACGACAGGTCATCTAGCCAGTCATACGATTATGCCTGGCAGCTTCTCGTGACGGTTGAAGCTGTCTTTCATCAGGGAGTGTTTGAAGCGTCGACTGCGAAGCGGACGTGAAGCGGAGACACGGTGTTGTCGGTGGGGTTAGGTTGTGGGTTGTGGGAGCATTGGTTGGTGAAGCTGAGGGCGTAGGGTTGGTAGGTGGGAGCTCGAGGCAAGGTCTGTGTGTACCGGTAGGATGATTTGTTGGTGTAGGGGCTTGGTTGGCTGGTCAAAGAACGACTACAGGTACACCAGGGCAGGGGCGTGGAAGCTTGCTGGCACTTGGCCAGCAGCCCACCACTAACGAGGAAACTATTTTATTCTAGCTAGACTAACGCTGGCTGACATAAGCAGAACCAGGCCAGCCACCAACAGGAACCACCAACAGGAACCACCAACAGGAACCACCAAACACTTTGGTTCAGCGAAGAAGAAGAAGAACACCCTTCCGAGTGCCCCCCATCCCCTTCCAACATAAATGCTGGCTCGTTAGAGCAAAGAACTACTAATGTCACCGACGGTAGGAGACTTGACTGAAAGCAAAACAATGAAGGAAACACTGCCTTTTGCTGCTGCCTGACCAAACGTCCGCTGGGACTCTCTTGAAAGATCCCCCAGCTTCCATATGGCAGGTTGCAAAGGACTCGGAGCACCGAAAATGCACATCATTGTCGTCGAGAGGAGGGCGCAACGACCAGTTGGAGAATAGCTTGCCAAAAGGAACCGCCAACCGACCAACCGTTGCGCGACCCTGCTGCCTGACCAAACGTCCGCTGGGACTCTCTTGAAAGATCCCCCAGCTTCCATATGGCAGGTTGCAAAGGACTCGGAGCACCGAAAAGGCATTGTAAATTGAGGAGGGCGCAGCCAAAAGGAACCGCCAACCGACCAACCCGACCAACCGTTGCAACCCGACCCACCGACCCGCCGACCCACCGACCCGATCGTTTTCGAGTTTCAGGAATGAATCAAAAAGAGCCGTTTGCCAAAGTGAAGGAGAAACGGCCGACCCGAGGAGACCACAAACAGCTTCGACGGTTTAAAGAGCTTCGAAACGTGCACCAGCTCCGAGGGTCAGAGTTCACTTGAAAGGAGCCGTTGCCAAAAAGTGCCGGAGCCGGCGTGCTTCAAACAGCTTCGACGGGTTAAAAAGGGGCTTCCAAACGTGCAGCGACACCACCGCAACAGCGACACCCGCAACAGAACGCCATGGCCGATCTTGGAGGACGAACCATGAGAGGACGATGGCATGCATGGCACTTTCGTTCAGCGAAGAAGAAGAAGAACACCCTTCCGAGTGCCCCCCATCCCCTTCCAACATAAATGCTGGCTCGTTAGAGCAAAGAACTACTCATGACATTGCATGATGATGAGACTGGAACAGGAAACGGCCGCGGCATCTTGTCAACTGGAGGCGACCTACGTTGGGAACTAAAGAGGATGAGGCTGCAACGATCGGTCGAAGACCGTGAACCAAACAAACAAGCAAACAAGCAACGCCACAATGACAGAAGAACCGACCGTTACCTTGCACGAGTACGCTCCATCTCTAGCTGGAACCACCGCAAGACAACACCTTTCCAGCGGACCAACGTTCAGCGATACCAATGAGGACAGCCCCGGAGAACTGACCCCGCCGGCTTCTCAAGGTTCAAAAGAACTCCGAACTACTACGGTAAAACATCACTGAAAAAGGTGTCATCGTCATGCATTGGAAGAAGAAGTGAGTTGTGTTGTGCTGAGAGAGAAAAAGAGAAAGAGCTTGCTGAACGTCGTTTCGTCCAATTCAATTCAATTCGTTTCGTTTCAGCGACGACTTTTTGGCAAGACCAACATCAAAATCGAAAGAGGTGTCAACATCAAAAATCAAAATGGAGCTCGTCATCGCTTCTCTTTGGGCAAACGTGAACAACTAACTCAAATGAAAATCAAAATGATAACAATGCACAAACACGACAACCCGCACCCGTCGGAAAAAGGTACGGTACGATACGAACTAGTTGCATTTGGAGGATTCGATTCGATATCATTCGCAGGTGCAAGCCACGACGTCGTCGGTGGCCATGCCCCCACGGTACCTGAACCGAGAGACCATCCCGGTTTTACCATCACAGCAATGGAGAACGTCAACAATCAACCAAACAAACTGTCCTCTCTGCAAGACGCCATCCCACCAAACAAATGTCTACGGAAGGCCATCGTATTCTGGAACACGCAAATTGGTGGTTCTGGCTTTTGTAAGGAGAGCAGGAAAGATGGGATCATTACCGGTGCGCCACACTAGCAGCGCAATCGCTTCCATACAGCACTCTGCATGCAGGTAGAAAGCGCACCATAAAGTGCCTGGCTTGGTAATCTGATTTTGACATTCGTCGTGGACCAGACTTTCGCTCCCTATTAAAAGAATGATGATACGGGTACCCCCTCAAAACTCATTCGTCTTCCGGCCTCCTGCTAGCTAGATCGCGTGCGAAGATGGCATTTATTTGCTCCAACTTGCCTGCAAGGAGCCACCTTGTCGGGCAATCGGCTAGCTTTTTTAGTTTTGGAATGGCTTAGATTTGCCACCAGGGGCCGGTTGCGCGCAAGGGTTCTGCTGGATATGAAGCTTCAGCCGTTACTGTAGTCAAGAGAACAAACACCGAACCAGAAAGGGAGCACCGAACGAGCTCGTGTGGGCTACCGGTATCGTACAAAAGAAGATATGCAAAATGTGCCACGAACATTGAGGAGATATCCACGGGACTGTGTAAACTTGAAAATAAGCGAGAAGAACCCTGTGGCAAGGCAACCCTTTCAGCCACTGGCTGATGAGTCGAGTCTCACATACGGTAGGAAGAGTCATGCCAAAAACAAATAGATACCACAGAGACTAAGAGGCTGCCATTGTATGATATCCTTGCGTCAGACACTCTTCCAAGCAAGCGATCTCGGTGCCTGCAACGATACGCAGTTGGGGCTCTGCGATTTCAAGGGCACAAGGAGCGCAGTGTAGTTTTTTGGGTCAGGATCATTTAATCAATCTGGATCTTTAATACATGATGAAGCTTGCTACAATTCAAAAACTCTTCTTCGCCTCTGCTGGGAGAGCCAATTATAACTAAAGTCATTAGTGCATTCTGACAAGAGATCTCAGACTTGTTCTTATCAGCACCTCTTCGGTTCGGAGTATGGTTCATTTTAGTGACGTCAGTAGCCCAAACCAAGTTCCGAAGAGCGTTGGTTCTTATCACTCTTCGGCCAACGTTAAATTCGGTTTTGATTCCGAGGAGGCAAGTCAGTCATTAGTTTCTGTCCCTATCATCGACCCTCACATTTTGATGAAAATTCCAATGAAAGGGGTGGATGATCGTGCAAGAAAATAATGAAAGCGAGCAATGGCATGCAAAGTAGAGGCTAGTAGTATAAGACTTTTATAATGAATGTAGATATTAATAAGCTTAGTACTGGCGTGTTGCCTCTAGCGAACGCACACCTTCGAAACTGAAAGAGTTTCGCTTCAAAAGATAGTAGTGAGAGGAGGAAGATGGAGAATTCGGATGAAGATGACAATGGCAGTGATGCTACGGCGAAGCGCATAGCTGACGCCCTTGATAACAGGCATGGGAAACGCCCTTCAATCCATGAGCTGTCTTCATCAGATGATGATGAGGAAGATGACGACGAAGAACCAAAAGAGAAGACATTGCCTCCACTACCCCCATACTGCTCGCAAGATCCATCATGGACACAGGATTCCTTCATGTACCTAACCAACACAGAGTACAAGAAGCAAGTTGACACTGCCAACAGAGATGCAAGGATTGCGAAATACAAGCAGATGAATGGAATTCGTGATGATGAAGAAAGTCCAAACAGCGCAGTCACCGCGTCAACAACAACAGGCAACAACAACGACAACAACAACGAATCCTTCTGCTGGCGCCTTCTCAGCTGGCCTACCCTTTACTCCAAGCACCGACCAAGCCCAGAACTTGCGCAACTACCAGGAGTTCCTGTTGAAAGGAGGGGACAGCACTGGAGGATGGGATGTGAATCAGATTGTGAAAAGATGCGAGGTAGCATTGACGCCGCAGCTTGGAGCTGACCACAAGAATAAGAGCAAGCGGGCAGGAGCAGCTTCTTCTTCACGTGAAGCCAAGCGACTGGCAAAAGCCAAGGAAAAGGAAGAAAAGAAAGCAGCAAAGGAAGCCGAACTGAAGAAAAAGGAAGAAACGTCCAAAGAGATAGACAAAATCGTGGATAAGTTCCAGCCGGACTATCGCAAGTGCATTAGGTGCCAAGATGAAAAGCATCCCCGGAACAAACAAGATGAAACCGATTACTCAGTTGCCAAATGGTTGATTCTCAAGGAAGGAAAGCCTGAGGAGAAGCGCTATGACATTGCTGACTTCAACCATCAGCAGCTGCGCGATTTGGCCGCTAAGTGCAAGCTCAAGGGATCTGGAAGTATGTCCATGTGGAAGGCAAGGATGGAATTAGCAGCATGGGCAAAATCTGGGACGATTTACAGTGACAACAGCATCGCCAATCCTTTTACAACAGCCCAGGAGAAGAAAACGAACACATACATGCGCATTATCCAGACTTGTTTCCATCCTTCATTGGTCCAGCGATTTGTGGATCTTAATGACAGGAACAAGCGCAAGCAGTTTGAGCAGAACAGTGGCCAAGATCCAGTGAAGTCGTTTATGGTGGAGGTGTCCAATATGTACAACGATACTTCCTTCAATGAAACCCTGTCGAAGATTGTTAACAGTGACCAGAACTGCCCAACAGTGACGCCCATCTTGTTGAATGGGTGGCCAGCGGTGAGCTGAACCTAAATGATTTCGATCCCCAAACTCATCAAACTGTCCAAACCAAAGTGTACGACCTTATGAAGTCTCGCGAACTTGCTTTGGGTGGGATGACTATCTCTGGAAACCACGAGAGTGACTTTTGGACTTATGCGACCAATGTGTCTTACTTGAAGTGGCGAGCCAACGGACCGCCGCTTCCTGCCAAAGCTGTCTACTACACACACATCTTGTGCAAGCAGTATCCGGGCATTGATGGAAAGTTTGCTTCTCAGCTTGCTCCCAACATGAAGTCCGATTCCAATGTTCCAATGAATGGTTGCGCTGGTCTGATGGCAACGGCAGTGGACGCAAGAGCAATCGCGAGGTAGTAAAGAGGATGGACGAAGCTACAGAGCAGATCAAAGAAAACCACAACAAAACTTTCATGCAGCGGCAAGAGTACATTGATCTACAGAAGGCTGAAGCAAAGCGCAAAGCTGACACCGACAACTGGCAAGAGTACACGCGTCTTAGCAAAGAATTCCGCGGAATGAAGAAAGAAGACGATCCGGATAATGATATCATGTTGTCTCAACTGGCGGTACGTATTCGCAGCATTGAAAAGGACCTTGGTATCACCAACAGCATCACCGATGGGTATTAGAGAGCAATCAGAGAGAATCGACAGTAGCAGAGTAGCAGAGTAGCAGAGTAGATTAAAACAACTAGTAGAGAGTGGAATAGTACCAGTTGCTTTTATTGTCTATTGCGAGAGTGTCGCTGGCCAATGAGGAAGTGCGTTTCTTCACTGTCAAGGTGGTTCTGCGCGCTCAACTCCATATTGGCGTGGAACGAAACTTGCGAAAAAGAAACACAAAATAAGAAGATAGAGGACAATGACGGCCTTACTAATCTGACTTATTGTTCCTGCTACTAGTAAACTTGGGCCGTTCCAATCCCGGGAGGCTACTGTCCTGGCCATGTGCTCTCGAAGATGAGAGTATCCGGCTGATGTGCCCTCCAATAAGGAATCGAGTGCGATGGGATCTCCATTCTCATTTTCAGGGACGGTAGGGACGTATCGTGGAAGTGATTCGTCGCTTCGAGAGCCTCATATCTCTCTCCTGACTGCTCAGATCTGCGAATCCTCTCGTTGATGCAGAAGTTGTGCAAGGAGCCAATGGCTTGGATGAGCCAAGCCAAATTGGAAACAGAGCAACCGAGTGGATGGTTGAGAATACCCCACTTCAGGTTCATCATTCCGAATGCCATTTCAACACGAATCCTCACTTGGCTGGCATAGTAGTTGAAGTTGTCGTACTTTTTGTCTTGCTTGGAAACTCCAGCGTATACAGGGACTAAGTGTTCTGTGGGACAGTAAGCAGCATCGCCGATTGCACATATGCCAAAAGGAAGGCCTTCAACCAATTCGCCTAGCGTGACCTCACCCATTGCTTCCTTATCACCCATGACACCAGGACCAGCAAGGGCAATAAAGACGAACCGGCAAAGATGGTCCACGGCAGCTTGAACATTTACACCGTAACATTGATAGTGTCCAGAAAAGAAGGACTTGACATTCTTCACTTCAGTTTTCGAGGGAACCTTGATCCTCATAAGATACCCATCCAATACGGCTGCGCAGTTATCTATTACACCCTGATGACTGATGGATGCAAACCCAGCGATAGCAGATCCTATTTCATCATTGGTTTTGGGCCACTTTGGTCTCAACTCTGGGCACTTGCAGATGGCCGTGATTGTCTTCCAAACCACTCTGTAAAAAGAAGCGTGGGAGATGCCACAAACGTCCGTGATGTCCAGGTAGGATCCTCCCGATAACCATCGAATTGTACAATACAGACACAGTTCCGGAAGGATTGTTCCTCCACGTAAGTTTGCTGAGGTTTCATTCACTCGCAATGGTTCTCTGATCAGACCTAAAAGTTTGTTGAAAGACTCGAATGTCATGCGGAGACGTCTGTCAAAAGTTCCTCTCAAGACATGCTGATAACTGTACTCACTCCATGCCAATCTTTGTTCAAAGTGGGATGGGTTGCGAGTTTCTGGGCATTCCAAGATACCACAAGAGATCAAAAAGACATGCAAGAGGTCATCATCTTCCTCTTCAAAGAGATGGTCTAGTATGTTGGACGACATGGGATTCTTTGACAATGATGCTACTGTTACGTTTATCTCATCATTGGTTTCTTCTTCTATGTTCTAGGAAAGTCGACTGGCGCTGGTCATTTCATTGGAGTTTGTTGGATTTTCATTGGCCATCAAAAGCCAAAAAGAATCCGAAGTCACCGCACCGGAAAGGCTTCTGCATTGTTTTGATCAGCATTCCGGTGCGGTCACTTCGGAAATTTTTGGGTCATTGATGGTCTGTGACGTCAAAACAACAAAAAACAATCTACATTCCGAACCGAAGAGCTTCGATAAGAACAAGTCTCAGGCCATTATTTGTATCTATGATCTCCTTTACCACAAATAATGACTTGGAGGTGGCTCGTTACCTGGGATCATGCTGTCAAATACGGCAGCACCGATTGATCCCTCTTGGTGGAAGGGCTGGCCCTTTCCTTTGCGCTTCCGAACGAATCCAAAGGAGTAACATGCGCGCAGCTAGTCTAGTAACCAATCGCAAGTATTGTGTAAACTTTTCTCTATCTTTTAATTTATTAAAGTCAAAATTCATCGTTCCGTTCGTTCATTCATTCAACAACTGGCTTCATCTGTGGACTGGACGGTGTTGAGTCGAAACAAGTCGTCGGCACCACCAATGGAGTTTTCGCTGTGTTCCGACATGAACTCGGTGGGATCCACCATGGGCTCGGGCGATGATGGCGTCTTGGGCAGGATTGGCTGGACGGCTTCTTGTTGCTGCACCTTGCGGGCAGTGGACGACGAAAAGAATCCAAAGACGGATCGTTTGCTGGACGAATTAGATCGACTGACGGCCGTCTTGCTGAATCGTCGACTATTGCTGCTATCCAAAAAGCCAGTGGTGGAGGCTCGCATGGATTCGTCTCCACGCATGCTGCTATCGCTTTCCATGACGGCTGCCAACTTATTCTTGTTGGCTTTGAGGACAGATTCCATCAATCGTTCGTAGTGATCCAACTTGCCCGAGAGCGTATCGACAGTAGCCTGCGAGTCGGCCAATGCCATGCTCTGTTTGAGTGTTTTTTGCATCTGCATGTCGTGTTCTCGTTTGGCTTGTTTGAGTTGAGCGAGACAGACCTGCAAACTCAATTGCAATAGTTTGGGATCACTTTCGGTTTCGACCAACGACAAGTCTTGTCCAAACATGTCGAGGACGCCTTGAATTTCCGGTAATACTTGTTGCAACAGAGTGGCTTGATTCTCGACTTGTTGTTCTTGATCGCGTGACGAGAGTGTGGCAACTTGTTTTTGGAGTTGTCCGACCTTGTGTTGTTCTTGTGCGACTTGCTGAAGTGCCATTTGCTTTTCTTGTGTCAAGGCACCCACTTGATGTGCCAATTGGTTGTTGGTCTCCATGAGGGCTTGGAGTTTGCCGTACAGTTTCCACTGATTGTTCTCCTGAGGACCACAAGACGAGTGTCGACGGCGACGTCCATTGGCACCAGCTGTAAGTTGTTCTAGTTGTGGTGGTGCTCGACTCTCCATTTGCGAGACAATGTCAGTGTTGGTTTCATTCAACGTCTGCAGACAATCCAACTGTGTCTTTTGATCTCCGAGTGCTTGCTGGAGATGTTGGATTTGACTCTTTAACGACGCATTGCTGTCTTGACTTGTCTGTAACTTGCTGCGCAAATGGGCCGTCATGGCGCGTTGTTCTTCCAATTGCAATTTGACCGTCTCCAGTTCCATATTGCAACTTTCCAATTGTTCGCTGAGACGCTGTGTCGCTGACGAATCCGCAGGAGTGGAAACCGAGCCTTGGCTTTGCACCGTACTGACGGTACCTACGCTCTTGCCACTGACACTCACGTCCAGCATGACATTGCCCTGCTGATGAAGCTCACCAATCAAGGCATCCTTCTCTTGGACTTGCGCTTCTAGTGTGGCCACTTGTAGACGCAGAAGCGCCACGGCAGAAGCATTCTCCGACGAACGGACCAGCGAAGATGTACGAAACAATCCCATTGTGATGAATGAATGGCAAAGATTCTAAGTGATGTGATGTGTGAGACGAAGACTATAGCAACTAGTACTAGTAACGTCGAATGAGCAAGAAGAGAGATCGATTTGCGGAAGACTTTGTGAGGTCTTCGCCAGAATCAAAATTTGATAGAACCCACTTTGGATGCCTTCTCCAACAACCAGATGCCGGTGAAGTGTTTTGGTCGAATGAAGCAACCATCATCCATCAACTTCATGCACTGTCGCGGTGCACCGTGAGGTCCCAGGTACAGTGCTGTACCGGTGCGTGACACTAGGTAAAATGTGAGACGTTCGATTTTCAAACGATAAACAAAAAAACTGCTTGCCGAACTTTATTCCACAGTTGATTAAACAGCGCGGTACCACTAGCTAGAGAAACCACTATAGAAGCTTTGTACCATGAGTCCCTGATTACATTCAAAAGCTGTTTCAAAGCATTAGAAGATCCGTCATGATGTTTACCACCTCTCACATTTTGATCCAAAATCGGACTGTTTCCGCGCCGCTGGTTATCAATCAAGCGAAGGCAACAATCAAACACAGCAAACCGCCATCCAACAGCCTAGCAGGATCGTTCCCGAATGCTTGACGTCACACGGCAACCGTACCGGTATAACCATGGGAGTCGCCACGGCACGTAAGGTTTATCAGACTCGGGGGATTGGAAAGGGACTCGCCTACAAGACTGCTGGGACGTGTTGCAGCACGGCCATCATCATGTCCCACTCCGACCAGTTCAGGCTGATGGGTTCATCATGCAGGGTGGCTGGGTAGTCTAGACTACTAGTAGATTAGCTACTGTAGGTTCAGGATGCCACTGATGAAGTCATCTACCCAGGTACTGACTGGTAAGATCATCCATCTGCACAGCCAGCCTCTACATGTAGTCTACCCAAGCTAGCTAAAGAGATCTACACGTAGTCAGCCCGAATGGTTGCCGTTCGCCGTTCTCGTCTGCCTGTGCGATTGTAGTCTTCCAATAGTGCTACAGCTCATTTTCCAGCCAGTCTGCTGTGCTGCTGTGGCTCTACTAGTAGCTACCGTAGCTGAATACAACTACATATAGCAACATGCTGCAACCTCGCTGGGCAGGGACAAAAGAGAGAAGCCGATGATTGGATCGCTCGAGTTTGCTGCTTGCTTGCTTGCTTGCTTCGTGCCACTTGGTGGACGGTGCCTACCACAATTGTAGCCATAAAGAGCTCCTGGGGTATTCCCGAGTTTGCTGATGACCTTACTACTATTTGCAAGTAGAGTGGCTACCCCAACTCTTCATAGCTACCAACCTACCTACCTCATACCGTACTCAGCTACCGGTACAATGAATGATACCTGTTTTGCGTGGCCTCCTTCGCCATGTGTGTGGTAAATCACGGACATGTGCGGTGGAATGATCCAGTAGACTACAGTATCCTGTGTAGCATGCAGCAACAACCGGTGGCTTCTGATCGCTTGAGCCACCGGTACATTCAGATCCAATGTTGCTCTCTTACCTCAACAGGCTGACGGTCTATCCTCTAGCTAGCTAGTAGCCGGCCCTGGACTCAGGCTTTGGTTTAGCTCAATAGATATCTAGCTGGATAGGCACAGCTGTAGTGTTGAATCGAATCGTACGGTATGGTCTAGCTAGCTAGCTAGTGGCAGACTTTTTTAAAAATTAAACAATGATGAAAGACCAAAAAGACAGAGACAGTGGTTGTATTAGCATGTTTAAAATAACACCAGTTCGTAGTGAAATGTATTTGTCGGGCGATGAAAAGCAGCAGTAGATAGTTGATTGATGGATGGATAGACCAAGTCTCGTCGCAAGCTCGCCGAGCGCAGCATCTGGGTGGCTGAATCATAGGTAGTAACTGCATCCTCCAAGGAACGATCAGACCCTGCCACCCCCTTTCTCAGCTTTTTGGTAAGCAATGTTTGGATCATTTATTTTCCTGTGGGTTGGCACTTTCATAACTTCTTGGGTAGACTACCCCCTGGGTTGTACCGTATGAGGCAAAACACTAGCCTCCTTCCGTCCTTGTCAGCTAGCTAGCTAGCCATGAGCATCCTACGACGTTGCGGCAGTCAGTGCGGTGGAGGATGCCCAGAATCGACCCCATCCTCGTCCCGTGGACGTAGTGCCTCGCTCCGAACTAGGTTGTGCTGTTGTGACACCACCGTGTTGAGAAGACTGTACTCCTCGTTCCGATGCAATTTCTAGGGGAGCACTGTCATCTGCCGGAGTGGCATCATTGTGGCATTCGTCCGTCGTCATGACAATGGATGCCATGGCGGTTGTATCGTTGGACTGCTGTGGTTCGTCGTCGTCATCGTTGAGTTCAATGTCACCCAGGGAGGACGCTTGGTCGACGGGTGGCAGTGTAGTGGTGGTGGTAGCTTTGGTGGTTGGTTTGGGACTTGTGGATCGACTACTGCTCTTTTTCTTTTGCTTTTTGCCGTGGGATGACTTGGAAGCAATGGGTGGAGGCGGTGGCGGAGCGGTGCGTCTTCCAAACCCAAGTAGAATTCCAGTGGATGTGTTTTGTGCGGCAATGATTCTCTGGGACTCTTCCAGCTGTGATTCGAGCGTGGAGACGGTCGCACGTGTGTCGGCCAAAGCCACACTCAGTTTGATTGCTTTTTGCAATGCGGCTTCCTTTTCGGCTTCGAGTTGATCCATGCGATCATTGAGCTTTTGGACTTCCAATGCCGTCATGGTGGTTGTCTTCATGCTGTCTTCGGTCTTGCCCGTGTATGGCGCGGACCGATACGAAGTTCCGCGTCCCATATTGGATCGTCGATCGCCACGAGTACTACTATCAGACATGAGCGATGATGGAGTAGTAGTGGTGGTGTTGTTGGAAGAAGAAAAGAATAAATCCCATCGTTGCTGTAATTTGTCGTGGTGTCGCTTGTCTTCTTGCATTTGTCGTTGGAGTTCATTGACGGTCAAATCGCGTTCCGCCAATTGTTGCCGCAACGATTCAATCTGCGCCCGTAGTGATCGTTCCGAGGAATCTTCGTCCATGAAAAACGTAGAAGAAGAAGTCACGGAAGCCGTGGCGGAAGCGGACAAGCAATCGGGTGGTGGTGCTTGTTGGGATTGTTGCTGTTGTTGCTGCTGCTCGAGTTTGGGAGATGGTGTAAAGAGAGGAACTTCATCGTAGTAGTCCAATGTGGACATGGTAGAAGTGGGCGATGCGTTTAGTCTCGCCAACTTGGTCGATAAGGTAGAAGTGGTGTGGGTGGTAGTGGAGGGACTGCTGGTGGAGTACATCTTGTTATCTTGTTTTGTTATTGTTGTTTTATAATATGGATCAACTAGAGATGGATCGATCGGATCGGATATGATTGAATACCCGGCAATCACACAACACAACAGACTGATAACACTTCTGCTTGATGGAAAATAAGTGAATGCAATGAAGGAATGATTCAAAAAAATAAGCTTTCTTGGTAAGAACAACCAGAGCCTGTGTATTTCTTCTTCCAAGATGCCTGCACTCAATCCACTATGTTTGTGGTGTGAGATGCCTTCTGTACTTACTCAAGCACAGATCGATAAACTTTGTTCTTGCTTCATCGACCTTGGCTCAGCTTTTGGATTGTTAACCTCTTTGTTTGTTAGAGGTGATGTTGCTACGACAGATGCTTCTACGATTAAGGGTTGCCACGGCCACGTCTACACTTCAACTCTACGGTATGCTAATAATGGTTCTCAGGAACTGGCATGGAGTAATAAACACACGTAGACCTGGCTCACTTGCGATGGCATCTTTCAAATGGGAATGTGACTCCTAAAGAACTTGATCACGCTCAGTACCGCTCATCCCATTTCGGTCATGCGAATACATTGCTCTATGCAGAGAAATTCAAGGAAATTTTTACGAGGCGTTGGGGTCACCGTGTCTTCATTTTCAGTACTGAGTAGGAGTCGTCTATTCAAATAATTAATTAAGCCACTGGCTGTTCCGGTTGATACTGCCACCGGTACACTTGGAGCTCTCACCGGTTCTGGCTGGATCATAAGGGCATTGCCACAATTAACACTTGGCACAAGGCAATACTTCACCTCTTCCGAACGGATGACACTTTCCTTCTTTTACTCTGATAGTAACTAGCTAGTCAAGCGCTCCTCCATTGATACACACAAACCAGTGAAAAGATATGCCTCCTCCCACCACTCACCGACACAAAGTAGGACGATACTCAAACGTTCAAATTTGCCTCACAATTTCAAAGAGCATCTACTCTCGGTCGTGTGTACGAACAGCTGGACTGATTGTGCCAGTCATGGCGTGAGGGCATGGCTACCGTTGTCTCTGGTGCTCGGTGGCGACTTCAGCCTCTGAGACTTGTTTACCAAGGAGGTCACTTGAAGAAGGAAACCACAATGTTTTTGAAATATGCCATGCATGTATGTATGTAGAGGTCTAGTGGTACGGCTACATAGTGCACCTACACCATGAATCCTGAAGAAAACGTGATGCAACAGCAGCTCCCAGCATGTATGTTCCTTCGTCAAAAAAGACAATGGCCGTTGTCGCCCTTGGACAAACCTGAGACGCGTGATGATGACAACAAACAGATACTTTCGTAGATGATGATCCATTGGAGCGAATAGAATACATGTAATAGAATTTGATGCTGCAATAATGATCCATTCGAGCGAATAGATACCTTGACCGTGCAACAATGACATGGCCAGCCCTCCGAATCTCCGAATACATGTACATGTACCACAACTCTACTCGAGTAGCTAGCTAGATACATGTACATGTGCAAGGAGTACATTGTAGCTAATGTGGTTGTCTGTTGTCTGGGCTCGAACTTTACTGTCCTTGGTGGTTCATTGTTTCCATAATTCACATGTTTTCTCTGCACTCCGACATGGTGAAGGTCCCCGGCTCATTGGTTCTACCGGTATATTGATGCATTGATGCGACTACAATGTCCTGTACTACCTACCAGTAGTACTACATACATACCGTACATGTACCAGTCTCCAGTATCGATAGACTTCAGATAGCTCTAAATGTACAGTGCAGCAGAAGCCAAGGCTCACTCCAATGTTATCAGGATGCTACAAGGTACAAGCTATAAGAGACGGCTTGTATGCTGCAAGACGGCTGGAAGTGGGTTGAATCTTTTATGTTTTTTCGTTGGTTCGGTTCGGTTAGGGTTCAGTTCCGTGCAAAGTGGGAATAGGGTTAAGGTTCTTTCTCATCTTTTTTGCCTGCTGAAAGCCTCAACCCTTTTCGAAGTTGATGAAGAAGATCGCCAAAAGGGAAGATCTCTCAACACTGTTGTCGGAGGTCGGGAGTGTCAAGTACATGTACTGCTATCAATTTCTTTCCTTTGGACATACCTTACCATGACAATCTCCCGCCGCTCTCCCGCTACGCTTTTGACCTTGGCTATCCTCGCCTTGCTTTCCAGGAGCAGCAATGCCTTTGTTCCACAGCTCCAGCATGCTTCTGTGGCTTCACCATCAAGCACAAGCCGAGTTGTCTTGTCCATGGGATTGGTGGACGATCTTGGTGGTTTCATGAAGCGTTTCACCACCAAAGCCACCGCGTCACACATTCTCATCAAGGGAGGGGCCGAAGCTGAAAACAAGCTCGAAGACTTGAAGGAAGAAATTGGAGATTCACCCGTCAAATTCGCAGAATACGCGGCAAAGTTCTCGGCATGTCCTAGTGCTAGTAGTGGTGGCAGTCTCGGAGAGTTTGGGCCGGGGGCCATGGTCAAAGAATTCGATACGGTAGTGTTCAATGACGAGGTGGGAAAAGTACATGGACCAGTCAAGACGCAGTTTGGATATCATCTCATTTACATTAGTGATCGGACTGAATAGATACTTTAGCAACAGATGAAGCCGAGAAAGTGCTTTGTAGGAGGGGACACAACAGTTCCTTATATTCAATGAAGATTCGATTCATTGGTGGGCTACCGAAACAGCAAAAATAGCAGTTCAGTACGGTACAGACACGCGCGTGCTGTTTGTAGAAGCTGGCTCCCTGACTGCTAGATAGGGGGCGCCGGTGTCACGGAAGAAGGCTCCACCATTAATTTCAGATGATGATTCAGCATCATTGGCAAGGTACTGAGGTGCTCTCACTGTCTGGAACAGCATACCTTTCTCCTGGTGGATCGTCCACTCTTGGCCAAACTAATGGAGAGTCAAAGAATGTCACTCTATCCCTTCCGATCTCGGCCCAATGGGGGAGCTGCCCATGCCACCAAAACTGCTGCCAAAGTGGGCATAGTAGCATTCTCAATCTGGACACTGACCATGTCCTTGAAGGTGGAAACAGCAATGTGTTCTTCCTCCAAAAATATGCCACTTCTTATTTTGCTGCTTGCATGTCACTGGGTACAAACCAATGACGAACATTAGCAAGGCCAATGTAGACATCATCCACTTCAAAGTTGGGGGCACTCACTGGCACCAAAGTATGATCACATTCATATGGAAGCAGCAGATTTACACATGCATGGAAGAGTAGCAATAGTCCTACTGTATTTGGGTGCGTGGTTCAAAAACGGGATCAATCGCTATGGTGACTTACTCCGTGATGCTGACCCAAGTCTACAAACAGTCAAACTCGACTCAGCAGGCCTACACAGTGTAGCTCTGAGCATCATCATTGTTGTTGCACTTCACATACCGATACCCTGAAATGAGGAGCACCGCCAGTTCCTAAATTGGCATGATCCGTGTCCGAGCTACAAAACGAATTTGGATTGACGATGACGAAGGTGCCATTACACACAGGCACTGCGTGTGCAGCTGGATCTCAAAATACGGCAGACTGGGCTTGCTACTAGAGCGTAGATTATTATAAATGAATCTTGCTGGAAAGCTACTCCATTCGGCCACATTCGTCGCATTTGTTCAAAGAGAGTCTAGTCAATCCATGGATCCTTATGCAGACACTCAACCTTTCCGCACGCACTCGTTTGTTTTCAAACTACGTGCACCCACAAACACCCTTTCCTCTCGCACTCGTTTATTGTTGTTGACTGATCGGAATTTGCACGCATCTAGGCATCCTTATAGACACGTTTCTTGTACTTGATGATGCACTGTTCCTTGGGTCCCACGACCATGTCTTCGTAGGCACATGACGGAAAGTCGGTGGGAGCGACACGTTCAATTTCGTACTCTCGAAACAAGATACTCAATACCGTCTTGACTTGCATGTAGGCAAAGTTTTGTCCCATGCACGAGTGCAGACCACCACCAAATCCCAAATATGCATAGGGAATCTTGTGTTCTTCCCGTCCGGGAGCATACCGATCCGGATCAAACGTATCGGGATTGGGAAAGGTTTCCTTCATGCGCATCGAAGCAGTGGGGGAAACGACGACTTGATCACCGATAGGAATCACGTAGGTTGCTTTTTCTCCTCCTCGAGTGACAGTCACGGGAAGATTGACGAGTGCTTTTCGAATGAGCATGATGAATGTAGGACACATGCGCAAGGCTTCCGTCATGCAATTTTGCAAAAATTCCATCCGCCCGACCGTTTCGTAGTCGAGTGGTTTGCTCATATCCCCATCGAGTACTTGTTCCTGTTCCTTGATCATCCGGTCAACCATGGTGGGATCGTCTGCCATGAATAGCGATGTCCACGTCGACGAGAGACAGGACGTGTGTTGTCCAGCAAACAAGAGTGCAATCATGAGTCCGGTCATTTGTTCGTCCGTGACGGGAGTTCCATCCTTGTATTTGGTTTCCATAAACAAGGACAAAATGTCAGTTCCATCGGAATTGGAGGGATTTTCTCTTCGCTCCTTGATGACTTTACTAAACAGAGCGACCATTTCCTTGCGGGCCCAGTTGCGTCGTCGATGAGCCGGTGTGGGTGCATCGGGCCAAAACGGAGTGTAAGGCAAGAGTCCGTGATCCAGATCCTTGTAGAGTGCTTCGACTTCTTTAAAGAGTGATTTGCGGACATCTTCTCCGTGCAAACAACGGGATGCGGTAAGAATGGTGAGTTCCGAGAGCGACTTGAGCAAATCGAGTTGACCTGGTTCATCTCCCCATTCTTGACGGAGATAGCGACGGGTTTCTTCTTCAATTTTTGCGACATATCCCTTGAGACGAGTGGCGCGGAGACCATTGGCCATGGATTGGAATTGTACTTGTCGCTTCTTTTTGGGAGCATCGTAGACCACTTCGGGTCCAAAGACGGGTTTCATAAAATCATAGACTCCTTGTTGTGTCAACTAAAATTCACATATAAAACAAAATTAGAAGATATCCAGACAAAAAAAGGCAGCAAAAACTCAACAACTCATTCTATTTTCATTGTGCTCACCTGATCATCGTTGGACTTGAAAAAGACTGACTGAGCTTCAGGTCCCATCAAAAAGGTCAGGCGCTCTGTGAAAATCTACAAAGATACAATACAATACAACACAAAATAAACGCAATCATGAGTAAATTGGACAACCACCAACAATAAATTCATCCATTTCTCCTTTTCACTTGACTTGACTCACAGGAATGGTAAACACAGGTCCATAGTCTCGGTAGCATCGCTTGACCATGGTATTGGGACTCTTGAAGAATTCCATAATGACACCAATGACGGGGATGGGAAACACGGGAGATTCCAACACCAGAGGAGGAGCATCTTTGCCACCACGTCGAGGCCGAAGCACAAAGAAGTACAGTGCGAACACTATCACAGCAAAGATCTGAAGCCACAACATCTTGATCTTGATGTCAAATCTATAAAATAAATATAGACAACAGAGGGTATGGTGGGAGGGAGGCTGCCACTCAAAACTAAAATGAAAAATGATTTTGTGGCTTTGGTTTCCCTGGTTATTAGGTTCGAGGGTGGTCGACACGCATATTATTATGTTTGCACCGACCATGGATGAAGGGTTCCTCTCCTGAGCATTTGTAGGCAAGTTCCATCGCAGCTATGATCAAAAGGAGCTTTAACAGATTGCTTGAGAGAGAGGACCGACTTTGTCCCTAATTGGCCAACGCTTCAATCCTATCATGCTGGCGTTCTGCAAAGGTGCTCCCGCGTTAGCGTTGTGCCAAAAAGGATCCATTCTCGATGAGAAGCATCCATCTCGAAGTTCGGGTTTGCACACAGCCATGCGCTTTAATTAACCTTCACCCTTGACACTGATATTAGGGTCGCTCGCGTCGCTTCAACTGGTACCGCTTCCTGTAACCCTTTACTAAAACGAAGACGACACAGAAAATACTGCCGAGGTGAGACCCTCGTCGCGAAGATGGAACGCAACACCAAAATACTTTGAGTGGTCTGCGTGGAAATGTTTGATGCTTTAGTAGTCGCAGCACGAGACCATGGTGGCCATTAATAGTAGCCTTGATGCGGATGTTGAGCAACGTGAGCAATTTGATCGGCAGATGGAAATAAACAAGGCAAGGTTGAAATACTTCAACAACATCCTAGCTGATCCATCCTCGGATGCAACCAATTCCAGTGCTGTTCGTTCATACAACCAAAAAGTGTTCAAAGCAGAAACCAAGATTATGAAAGAATCGCTTGCTGTAATAGAGTCAACACTATTGTTCGAGTGGGAGAAATTCAAGGCAAGGATGCTGGTATGGTATGCTGCAGGGGATCTGAGCGTATAAATGGGCAAAGAATCGAATTGTTGATCAGCGCCGGGGTGGGAGAACGTGTTTGCGATTGTTTTTGAATAGCTTTTTTTATATCTCATGAATGATGTTGTTTGTATGCTGAGCATCTTCCATTCAATTCAAGTGACCCATAATGCGGTGGTTAGCTTGATTTATCCTTACAAAGCCTTGGAGAAGCAGAAGCGCTTTCTGTGTCACAAGATGTGCAAGCATATGGACATGAAGACATATGAGTATGTGAATCACCTTCGTCATATTAACTATGACGAGCTTCCCTTGATGCCTCCTTTCCGTGCGGAGAATTGTCTCATTCCAGTGCTTGGAGCCAACTTGGGATGGCTTTCCAGGGTAAGGAGGAATGTATTTTCCAGAGCAGCAGCGCCATACCTGTAGTTGAAGGGCGCCTCCATCTAAGTAGCCAATCGGAGCATAGCACAAAAGTCATTATACCCAGTGACCCAAGAATGATTTGGTCAGGGCATTGTCAATGTTCCAAAATATTCTTGGACCAATGCACCTTGCAACTGAGCGCAAAAGGGAAGTCTGGATGCGGCTTGTCGTCCGAATACTTCTTCAGCTTGGGAGATGCCGTCCGTTCTGGTGATGAGGTGGACTTGCTGCTTGAGCTTGCAGGTTGTATGGGTGCTCACTTCAAATAAATGTCCCTCTGCCAAACGTAGTGGTGTACTGGTACGGTGGACTGTGGTTTCATCATTACCTGACTAGCCAGTGGGCTTGGATCTTTCTCCATATTAATTAAAACTACTACTAGTATTATTGCTGTTCTGAGCCGACGAGGGCGCGAGGACCATTTTCGGGTAGGTGGAAAAAGTTGCAGCATTTTGGTGCAAGTGCCTTGCTCATGCACTGCTCTGCACTAGAAAGCAGTTTCCACTTGGGGGACTCACCTTCAACTCACCCCCTGCCTACTCACACCCAAGTAACACCCAACTCACACTTCAACTCACACCCTATTCACTCAGTTTCTTTAGTCTTCCTGAATTGCGGTGGTGCTAACTATGCATAGGAGTTGCTTTGTTTTGTGGGGAAATTTCCAGAGTGGACGAAGCCAGCTTACTGGAGGCAACGAATCTTCACTGGAAAGCTTCCAAAATCCAAGGTGATGTAACTGCTGACTACATTCAGGATGGCAGTTTTAGTGGGGATGCCTAGAGTTCATGGGTCCTCTTTGATGAGCTCTCCGTGACGCTACAGTCGTAACTCGTGATCATGGCTCGGTACAGTTACCAAGAGGGTGTACCAGGTACTTCTTAGTACAAGCAATTTTCAATGACTCGACCATGTAAATCCCTTGAAAATGTGAGTGCAAAGGATTTACTGAACCCAGGCCTGCCGCGAAACAGGTACCTGTGAAGACAAGGCTTAAAGATATTGATTCGACAAAGTCTCGGACCATAATAGTGAAACCGTACTGAAGAACGCCAAGGATTTAACAACTTCAACTAACCTGGTGTTGATACGTGGATACACCAAGAAAACGCAAGGTGCGTAGTGCGTATTTTCTCCAAGTCGCTGAAGATATCCCGCACAGTCATAGAGCACTCGATTATTGAAAGAAGAGGTAGGAAAGTCGCTGATGGATCGCTTACACGGGCGGTTTAGAGCAGGGAACTTATCTTTGAGGCCAGCGAGGGCCAGGCTTAGGAGTCGAAACTCAGGGCTTCCACATCTATTCGAAGCAGCAGCAACTGCAGCCAGACACATCGACACAACAGCACAACGGCATCCAGACACTGCACTACTCCAGAAGAAGATCTCATTCCTTATCCAATAGAAGATGTCGTCAACAGATTGTCCTGGTGGTACAGACGCAACAGAACAGGCTGATGTTCGCTCTTTGTTGTTGGATCGAAACGATATTTGGATCGGGCAAATTCTACCCTATGTGGGCACGGGACACTATGCCTTTCTGGGAGCCGTCAACAAAAGGATGAATCATTTGTACAAAGAGTATTGTGACAAGGCGCAAAAGCCTCAAAAAGTGATGGGCGAGAATGGAAAGCGGTCAGCGACAGCTACAGACACCCTCTACAGTGCGGTGTTCTCCAGTGTGCCTTGTGCTCAATACTGGCTCCGTCACAAGTCTGAGACCCCTCGTCAATTCTGGGTTTGTCGAGCCATTGCCAAAGTTGGGAATCTTCCTGTTCTTCAATTTGCTCATAAAACATATGGATATTCGATAAACACAGCAACGTGCCATGCTGCTGCTCGATTCGGACATTTGCAAGTACTGAAATGGCTGCTTGAGCAAGGATGCCAATGGGATCCTGATATATGTGCTAGTGCTGCTGCAGGTGGGCATCTTGACATGCTCAAGTGGGCTAGAGAGAAAGGATGCCCATGGGATGAAGTAACATATTCAGTTGCTGCTCAACATGGACACTTGAACGTGCTGAAGTGGGCACATGAGAATGGTTGCCCATGGAATGCTTCTGTTTGCCGTTCTGCAGCGCAAGGTGGTCATTTGCATATCCTGAAGTGGGCTCACCAGAATGGCTGCCCATGGAATGCTGGCTTATGTGCCAGTGCTGCTAAAGGTGGGCATCTTGACATGCTCAAGTGGGCCAGAGAGAATGGATGCCCATGGGACAATAGAACTTGCCAAAACGCTGCAAATCTTGGGCATTTGGATGTTTTGATATGGGCTCGAGAAAATGGCTGTCCATGGGACCAAGCTACATGCAATGAGGCTGCAAGTGGTGGGCATTTGGACATCCTGAAGTGGGCTCATCGGAACGGCTGCCCATGGGATTCTCGCACATGCTCCACCGCTGCTGCAAATGGGCATCTGGATGTCCTGAAATGGGCCTTTGAGAATGGCTGCCCATGGGATCGAACCACCTTTTGGACTGCTGCAGCAAACGAACATCTTGAAGTCTTGGAATTTCTTCATGAAAAGGGTTGTCCATGGAGTGCCAGTGTATGTCATGTTGTTGCTAGTTGTGGAAATTTGACCATTTTGAAATGGTTGCGTGCCAATGGGTGCCCTTGGGACTCGAGGACTATCAAAGGAGCAACACAGTGTGGGCAGACAGAAGTGCTACAGTGGGCCAGAGAGAATGGATGTCCAGAAGAATAGATACCCGCAATCTAAACGTTTTTCCATTGTTGTCCACTAGCCAGCTTGTCTTTTGTCTTTTTGTAGTAGTCAACTCGTTTTTGTAACTAAAATCGTATGAAACTGTGGTTATGTTAATCTTCATTTGGGGTTCGGGGAGTGCAACATTTGCTTCAAAACCATGCACCTGGGCTCAGCACGTCGCTGTTGTTGTGCACAAACTCGTAATCACGCGGCTTCTCAAGCGCTCGACCACACCGGGAGCGGTGCCGTGGATCGAAGTGAATGGTTTGGCCAGCAAAAAGACGAAGCTCAAGAATTGGTCGGTCTAGATAAGGAGAGAAGGCGATGGAGGCGAAGAACACCCAGGCTATACTGCGGTGGCAACGATTATGCTTGCAATGTACGATGTACTGCTTCCAACTATTTATCCTCTTGACACCACACTTCAATCGCGGACTCTAACCTCTTCACAATTGTCTCTTCACTCAGTTCCTTCAACGGGACACCATCTGCATAATTGCATCGCTTGGCTCGCACACGGAGACTATCTTCTCCAATAATCTCCACCACGACTTCGATTCCTCCTTCCTTGGCCATCTTACTTCTCGAGATAGTAGCCCGTTTACTGCCTCCTTCCGATTCTCGTTCGCGTTCTTCTTCTCGACTCAAATAATTCTTTCCCGTCGCCGTGGGCAGGAACAATAGTTGCACACCGGATCGTTGTCGAATCCCCGCGTCGTAGTACGATGCCTTGATTTTGGACGGTTCCACTCGAATGGGAGTGGTAAGGCCGCGTGGATTGAGGGCAAAGTTGTTGGCCCATTCGTTGAGGAATTCGCACAATCGATCGTAGACGGCGGCCGTACCCAATGCCGGAGACGTCCATCGTTCGAGTTCGGGGCCGTCCAAGCGCAAAAACGCATCGTCCCAAATATCATCGTTATGGCCGGACGGCAATGCCCCCACGGCACAGAGCGTGGCATTGCGGGCAAAGGGTTGATACGCCACTGCTTGGAGCAATACTTCTGCGGCCGTTTCGAGTGATGTGGTCCCATCGACGACATCTCCCGGCATCATGATAAAATCGTCGTTGGAGCTGCTGTCTTTAATGTCTCCAAATTTGCAGATTGTGTAGTCCAACGGTGGTTCCGTGACTCGTGTTTGTACGGTGGTAATGAGTTGTTCTTCGATTTGTCGTCGTTGATCGAGTTTGCCACCAAAAAGATTTTGCATGCTGTAGGGCATTTTATCGGTTCGTTCGGTGCCCAACGATGTGATTCCAATCAATTGTGTGGGTGGTGATCCTAGGGCCCCACCAGGTTGGAGTGTCCGTCGCAACAGTCGATCCATGATTTTGTTGAGAGCGGATCGATCCGACAGGGACGTACAAAAGAGGAGGGCACAAACGGCATTGTCTCCTCCAAGTGGAATGGTATCGGTGGGTTTGTACACATCAATGGCTTCCAATGTGGGAATGGCGGCTTGGAGTTTGTCGGAAAATGCCGGGACGAGTTGTTTGGCCAGTGGGTCCTTCGTTTCATCACACAAGCAAGATATGAGTGGTTTTTCTAGCTAGAGCGAGGCAACTATATCATACAGCAGGAAATGCTCCAATATAGTTTTGGTTACGTACCTGCGACGTATCGGCAATGACAATGACCCGATTACTGTTGACTGCCACCGCTTGCTCTTGCTTGCTGGGTGTTTTGAGATCGGACAGTTGGGCATCCCGTTCCTGTTTGGCCTGTTTTTCGGCGGCCAATTTGGCGGCATCGACACTTCCGAGCAATCCGACATTGTCGCTTCCCGTGGTGACGACGGCAGCTCCTCCAATGGTCCCCCAGACGCCCAATTCGACGCCCTTGCCTTCTCGTGATTTGTCGGCTTTATTAATCAGTTTGGTTTCCTCTCGTGTGGCTGCCGTCTTGGTGAGAAAATCGTCCGTCATTTTGTCAATTTTATTCAGCAGTTTGTCGGATTCCTTTTGCAACTGCAGTTCCGATGCCAGTTCCATTTGTTTCTTTTTCTTTTCCATGAAATCGCTCATTTGACCACGCAGTTTTTCAATTTCGTCAATTCCTTCGGCTACACCGTCGTTAATGACCTCCATGGCGGCGGCCTTTAATTCGGCGGCTTCTTGGTCACTCAATGGTTGCAACTGACTCCCAATGTTAATGCCCAGCTTTCTGCTGCCGCCACTGTCTTGCACGGCCTTGTTGTCAACTTTGGACAAATCCAACAAGTTGTCTCCCAGCTTGTCGATATTGTTGATGCGATCCAATAAGGATTCTTCTTCTTCTGCTCCTTCTTTCTTGTCGTCATTGGCAGCAGCGTACAGCCTACTACTAGCACTAGTAGAAGCCCTGATACTAAGAGGGCTCTGCAGGGATGCCACGGGACGACTGGGACACCATGCTTGGCACACACCGACCAGTAGCAATCCCAAACAGACTTGATCACAAATCTTCATCTTCGTTTTTCTTCTTGATACACCACCACAATAAGACTAACTGTAGCTACCGAGCTACCCAGATATTTTATGTCTAGCTAGAGCTATTGCCGTGAGGGTAACAGATTTTATGATTTGATTCGATTCTGACAGCAATCCCATCGCCTCCAGAAGACAAGCCATCGGAACGTTGGGCATCCAGGCAACCGAGAAAGCAAAAAGCAGATGGCAGCCATTTTGATCTTTCTCAAAAAAGATCTTTCGCGACCACTGACGTCGTCCAGTGTTGGCAGCAAGTTCTGTTCTGTACCGCGCGTCGGTACAGTAGATACGGTATGTCAGAAAGGTATTTTCGTATGACGGACAGACGACTCGGGATCCACAATCACGGTTCGTGATTGGGGATGTGTGACTCAAATCAGATGGTTATCCGATCATCATCAGATGGCCAGGAGTACGAGGAACGAGGACAATGGTCGTCTAGATGATGCAACTACAAAGGTTAGGAGTTAGGTCGAAGAGATGAATGCAAGGAGCGACGGGATGGAACAAATGAATGGACGGATGAAGGTCCATAGGTTTAGTAAAGTGGGAAAGCCCTCCAGGGCCAACCATGCACTTCAGGAAGATAGATCGACGAGATCTATCTGCAGATGAAACTGCGAGAAACAGAGGATCGAAAGATCCTGGTATATGTATGCATATCGGAGCTCAGTTGTAGAGCTCACAATCTGAACGAGAGAGAAAGAGAAAACGAAACAGATAGCCAGTCTACTAGACAGTAGAGCTGGAAGGATATTGATTAAATTAGAGAAATTGTGCGTTCAAGTTCACACCTTTTCAACACGTTTTAAAACGATAGCTATCAGGAAAGAGTGAGCTTGGATCCAGGTTGTCAAACAGAAAAGAGAAGAGTTTGAGAAGTAAGTAAAGATGTCTACGGAGGTAGAGGTATCATCGTCGAGCAAGTATCCCATCTTCGATGGGAAAGATGAGAAGTTCAGGTTCTACAAGGTCAAGATGATGGCCATTTATCGAAGTATGGGTACGTAGAACTGATGAAGGACTCTACGGAGATCAAACCGGACAACTGGGAAAACCTACAGGTACGGGCAAGTTGTCGGACGACGAAGTAGAAAAGATCGAAGGTCTGCAGAAGAAGAACAGCAAGGCTGCTGGAATACTGCTGGATTCGATCAATGTGGAGACCATCGAAGGGCAAGTCGCCTTCGACCTACTGGCCTCACACCAACGACTGACCATGCTGCTGGGAAATTCAAGGGCATGTGGGAGTCCATGCTGGACCTCTACGATGCTGAAGACAGTGGTGAGGTAGCAGCTCGACGAACGGAATACTACGCGATAAAGATGGACATCAAGGAAAACCCAAAGAAGTTCGAGATTGGACTCGACGTGAAACGCAAGAAGCTAGCGAAGGATGGGTTCAAGATATCGGACGAAGAGTACATCAAGGACCTTCTCGAGAAGATGCCGAAGTAGGAAGGA